TCATTGGTTTAATTTCCGTCCTGATGAGGTGAATTTTGCCTCTTTGTCTCCATATATTTATTAATCTATACGCGATAGGCAAATCAATAAACGTTAGAAACAATTTTAGAGTAAAAATTATATCGTTAAGGTGAAATCAGAAGATAGCTAGCTAGCTGCTTTATTAAAGCTAAATTCATTTTAAAAAAAAGGCTTAGCTTTAGGAATTAATGAAAATAGAAATAATTATCTAAATATATTCATTTCATTTAATATATTCAAATATATTCAATATTTCGTTTAATTTTCTTCTCTATTTTCATATTTAATAATAATATATTCAGTAATATAGAATTATATATATTATATAGAATATAAATTTATATATATATATATATATATATATGTAATATGTAATATAATTCTTATTACATATTACTTATTTATTTTTTCATCGAAGGAATTTTTTATCCTTTATTGCTTGGATGACTATTTTTATAGTCCACTGAACGCGAATAAGTGATTTTTCTCAAATATTAAATAGATTTTTGAAATTTCATGTAAGTTAAAAAAATCTTATTTGTTTAAATTCAACGATTTAGTTTAGTTTTTTTCGCTAAATTTAGTATAGTAATATTGAAATTACTATGTATTTTGGAATATATTTTTGATATAATTTAAAATATAAAGACGTGTTCAAAAATTGATTCCCTTAAAAAATGATTTGTAAAATTTAATTAAAGATATTTAGATAATTATTTGTCAAAATAATTTGTTTTTTAGTTTTTTATATAGATATTTGGAAATTTTCAGTGAAAACTTTTGCTGTTGCAAAAATTATTTCTATAATTTTCTTTTAAAAAATGTTACTTTTTATACCTCATATCATTACTGTCATCACCTAGAACATAGTCAATTATGTTTCAAACTTTTGAATAAAAAATTTGCCAATTTCATCAATTTGATATAAGTGCCTACTATTTAACAATGTTAGATTTTTTGTTTGGCTCAAATTTCTAGTTAGGAAATTTGAAAAAACATATTCATGAATAATTTCATGATAAGTATGCTTTGGGAACTTGAAACTCATATAAAAATTAGCAAGATCCACCTCAATTAAATTTTTGAACAATGAGATTTTAGAAAATCGTTAAGCTCTTTTTTTCAAAATTTCTTCAAATGACATTAAATTATTCAACAATTTTCCTAAAACTTAAGATTTTTAAACGAAAACTTGTGTTCAGCATATAATCAATTGGTTTAGTTATTATAATATTTATGAAATTTGCCTTTTCTTTTCCTTTACTCGCTTTAACCTAGAATTAATTTTATAATTACAGTCTTCTTTTTATTTTTTATTTCATTTCTTGTTTTTATTTTGTTAAACTTATATCGAAGTCGAATACTTTTTTCTTTTAGAAATCCTTTTTTTACGATGCTTTTTTCTTTTTTCTAAATTTTACGTCTTTCCATCATATATCAATTTCATGTCAATTTCATGCATCAATGTCAAATTAAATTTTTTTTCGAAATTTTCTGAACACACTATGATCGGATACTTCTTAAAATTTATATATTGTTGCAAAGATTGCTTATCTTTTGTAATTATTCGAACAATAATGATAACAATAAAAATCAGTCTAATAACAAATTAATTCTACTTTCTTGGAATATTTTCCGAAAATCCAACAATTTTGGACAACTTTGAATCGAAGATTTGACGAATACATTGGAGTGCAAGGTGACCATATTGTCAAGTTTCTTTTTTATAAGGTTTTCGAAACTATTGCCACTACAAAAAACTTCGAATAAAATGTTGTAACGTTATTAATTGCTTCATCTAGATGTAAATTTTTTCTTTACCTGTTTTGATTCGATGATACTAGTTTTTCTTCTGGCAGCTTTCACTATTACTGGTTACTCTGGCTCCAACGGCTATAAAAGTCAGACGCTTCCAAACGGTGCGGTCTGATGCCATCGTCAGCAGTAATAAAAGCCATTCCTTTTTCCATCGTCTAAATCCATATATTGCTGGTCCATTTATGCATTCAAAATCTTTTTTGACCGTATCAGTCCAGATCTTGATTGCCTCATCTCGTTTTTGACATCACCCATTATAAGATTTAGCAAGTAAAGAAATATATGTCAACTCTTGTGGTAGGAGACGAAGGTGCCCTAATCAGCGAAAGCGATGCTCTGTGATGGTGCTGTTAATACAAGTGGTATTTGAACGAAGTGGATGTGATTATGAAAGATATTTTATCTACTCGGCGAAGCCGTACCTTAGACAGGAGCGGTCAAAGGACGATATTTCTTAATATTTTCCATTCTTATTGGCCGTATAGCAAGATCGAATGAATCGCTGCTATATAGTTCATATCAACTAGTGCATATCGACTATATCGATAATTTGCTATGTTGCTTCTTTTTTCTTGCAGAGGGTCATAGGTCATAAACCAGCGAAGACACATCACTCTTTCTTAATTATAGTCAAATTATCGCAAGCTTTTAGTACAAAACTTCTGAAATACTGTGCAATAGCGAAAAAAAAGAATTTTTCGAAAAAAATTCATCATTATCAATTTTGTAGGCGGTGCCATTTGTTGAGGGTGGAGCACTAATAATTTCGCAACCAATCGTAGCGATGCAATAGATAGACTAATATTTTCATCGAAATTATTATGTTGCACAAAAATTGTTGCTTATTTGTGATATTAATCGAGTTTCTTAATCGAGTTAATTCCCTCAAATATCCTTTATTATAGTTTTAATTAATTATAAATAATAATTTTTAATAAATACTTTCAATAATTTTCAGAAATTTTCCGTTATTTTTAAATTTTTTTTTATTAAAAGTTATTCTTCTAAATAGTTCGCATAAGTGTCGGTTTAATTCGCTTCACTGGGCGACTAAAATAAAACGTTTCTCTGGTTTCTCGATTCTATGCCAACCTTGGCCTTCATTGGCGAGTAAGAACATCTCCTAGTCATTCCTGAATTTAAGTGAAAAAATCCCTTTTCCCATCCTCTAAGCCTCTATATCGCTAGAATTAAATTATAGTTTAAGACCTAGTAACATTTCAGATCTCCATTGCTTTCACTAGTCCTCATCATATTTTAAATTTAGCGAGAAATATTTCTAAGGTTTTTTAAAATTTTGCTTTGCACAAGATAACTTCAGGTATGCCATTTAATGGATTATAATGTTCGTAACTTAGTGAGTGCCATCGAAAATGGCTAGGGTCGATGCAAGTTTCATCGCTGCGCTGGGAGTTTCTTGTCCTCTATATAGCTTAAATCTGTCTTTTAACAGTCCAAGTAATCTTGGATGCATGATTTCTATCGCCAGATAACTTTCTGGCAAAATTTGCCTAACGAATCATCAAATTGCTGTCAGAAAAAAATTTGATGATAAGACTTCGATTAATTTATCATACTCAATTCCATTTTTATATTTTTATTCTCATTTCTTCGCAATTGATAAATTTTAAGCAAGATTTTTGCTTTCTTCCTAAGATTCTTGCTAAGAAATTGTGCAAAAAAAGCCAGAATGTTGTGAAATTTTGGTATTTAATCAGGATGATTTACATTATGATCCAATACATATATGCTAAGTTCAAGGATAAAATGCAATATTTTTATATTCTGTATTCGAAAACGTATCCATATATTCCTTTTCTTTAAATATATATCTGACGATGACCTATAGCTATTTACCAAAAAGAGCTTTAAAAACAACTTTAAATATCATGCAAATTTCCTAATTTGATATAATATTTTTATTTCTTTAATTTAGGGGAGAACTAAGTTCAAATTATATCTCACATTATAAAGATTTTACAAATAATGGGTAAATCTGGTTAGTGTTTCTTCCTATTTATTGTGCCTATTATAGTAGAAAAATCAAAACGTAGAAAATCATCTAGTTGAAAATTTTCTATTTTCGTTGAACTATCTTCGTTTTCATCAGCCTGCTTAATTTTACGCAAAGGATAATGCATAAGTCGCTGCCAGTTGAAAGAGAAGTGTAGGTTAACTTTTTATTTTTTTTTTTGCAATATATAATTTTAGATTTCTCTATTGATCAAATCAAAAGTAGGTAGGAGATCCTCCTTTTTTTAAAGAGTTATTCAGTGGTAATTGTGACTGTAGAAGAGTCCTCATTTGCATTCCATTTTTTATGGCAGTATTGTTGAAGAAAAGATACTGAACTTAATCTATTATTGGAACGCAGAACTTAATCGTCAGTCTGCAAGAAATCTTTCTCAAGTGATTTTCCTTATACCCTATATATTAAATATATCATTATTAATCATGAAAAATATTAAAAGAAAATAGAAAAAATTTTTCATATTCTTTATGATTTTGGAATAATTTACGCGATAAATTGTAAGGAAAATGGCTCATATAAATCTTGACAATGCTAAGTCGTATATTACTTTTTAAATTTTGGAAGAGTCTAGCAAAATCCTCTCAACTTCCAGTTTTTGGCTTGTTATTAGCATCTAATATATATAATACGCACCTATATTTCTTGTTTCTTCTCGTATAATAGATCGAATAATCAAATTTTTTCACTGCTCATTCTTATCCTAAATATCAAATACATTATTAAATGTCGAAATAAATTCTTAATCGAAATTACTCAGTTTAGCAAATAATCCAAAAATCAGCTTAAATACTCTCTGAGGTGATCTGCTCGTTAGAAATTAATCCCATCACTACTTCACCTACTCTTCCCTCGTGATAACGAAGTTTAGCCAAATTATCATAAAATTTGTTTTTAACTTCTTCTAAGACTAATTTCATCTATTTTTAGGATTTAGAATTTTATTTTATGCTTTAATATGAAAGAAAATAGCTAAGAATGTTGGTTAAAAATGAACAGCGATGAATTTTATTTTATGCTTTAATATGAAAGAAAATAGCTAAGAATGTTGGTTAAAAATGAACAGCCTTTTCAACAATAAAGCAAATAATTAATAAGTAGTTTTTTTTAGGACAACAAGATTCTTCTTGCGATGAAAACGACATCGCATATGGATTTTTTGCCCAAGAGCATTGACCAGCTTCAAATGTCTAGATCGCCATCACCTCGGACAAACTTGGATAGTGCTAGCACTCAGAACAATATCAATTCTAATCTCTCAGCTATATTGAGTGCTGTTAAATCAAATTCGATGGCACTGATCAATGAAGTAAGAGAAACTATCGAAATTTTGCTACAAAATCTGTTATGCTAATACCATCATTTTAACATAATCAAGCTAACTCTCTCTTTTTCTCTTTTCAACATTTCTGATTAAACCCTTTTCGCTGGTTTGTTGGGTCAAATAAAATGAAGAAAAAAATTAGTAAAGTTCTAACTGCATTGATGTGCGATAGAAATGAAATGCAGATGAGTCGCATCAACTAGATTTTTGAAAAAAAAAATTTATTCTAGGAGCGAAATTCTAGGATCAACTCACCAAAATGAGATTCACAATTTGCTAAGGCATTCTATTCTATTCTATTCTTCAAACTTTTAAATGAATACTAGACATAGTAGGTAGTTGCACTCTCACCTCAAAATCTTTTATTTATTCTCATTAATTATCACTCTATTATTCGCATTCCAAAAGTTTATCTCTTCTTAATGGCGAGATCCATCAAAAGAAACAGAGAGAAAAGAAAATATTAAGTACCTATTTTATGCTATTTTAAATTGTTCTAAAAAAATCTTAGTTTCATATTCGTTATGCACTTTTAAAAATTAGAAAATAAAAATTGAAATTTCTATTAAAGAAATAATTCAAATCAGCTGAAAGAATGGTTGATTTTTTATTAGTGCAAAGAACTATTATTTATCGAATTAATTAAATTAAAATTTTGTTCATTCGATTCAAAAAACCTTAAATTAGTCAGAATATTTCAATCCATATATGGATTTATTAATGGTGTTCTCAACTAATTCGACTAATAAATTTTCCTTCATTTTAACCTTAGATTGATATGTTTTGCTGTTCCTACCAAACTTAAGCTGGATCTATTATTTCTTAATTAATGAATTGTTCGTATTTTAAATATTTCGAGAGAATTTCTTGTCGTTTTTTCATACTATATTATTCCTCTATCTATAGATATAAAAAGTATCAAAAAAGCTTTGAAATATTTTCATGAATCATAAAATAGTCTATAATTACTAAAATTTACTCTTCTTAGGTTCTCATAAGCATATAAAAAATTGTTTTTCATGATAGAAATGAGTTTTTATGAAAAATAAAGAAAGTTAGCTAAATGGTTATTTAAGAAATTGCTTTGCTAGTTGAGACGGCTTAATGCTAAGAGGATCCCCAATTTCATATATTTTTTTTTATATTATCTAATTTTCGAATTCTTTTTCCTATTATGTCTTTTTTTCTAATTTAAATAATCAATATATACTATTGTTTATTTTTTTTTCGAAAAAATTATTTTGTGTGAATTTCTAGTGGATTTGCTTATTTCAATATAATTTTTTTAAAATCCTCTTTTTTCTTTGTTCAGCGATAGGTAATGAGTATTGAATAGTAGACTGAAAACTTTAATAAGGCTCATTATATCGTAATTTCAGAGTAAATCAGGACATTCCCCGTCACCAAGAAATGAATCGGATACATCAGAAAAGGATCTCGATGCACAACAAAAAGCTTTTCATAGATTTACGACTTCATTCAACGGTATTTTAATTTCTTACTGGCCATTCTAGTAGAAGAGAATTATTTTTGCGATATGTATTTATCAATATATCAATATATCGATATATCAATTTTCTTTTAGTTATATATATGGTTACAGCCGATAATTTACAGATCTCGGTTTTCGTTCTTCTTTCCCAGTTAATGTTTTTCCACCATTCCTTGCGGCTCTCCAGCAGAATCCAGTCACATTACATCATCAGTTGATGAATTTGGGCCATGATAATAGTTTAGGTCTTTCACCTGGCCTCGACGATGATGAAGATTTAGAAAATGTCGGATCAACAGAACCTGAAGACTTAACTGTTGGGTAAGAATATTTTTAGTACCTACTGTTTTATTTTTGCGCAATATCTGTTGTATTGCTATCGACTAGAGAAAATTCAAATTTTTTAGATTCCGAAAAGAAAAAAAGGAAGGTGACGATAATGCTGATTCCGATATAAGTGGCCAACAAAATTGGTCGTACGAAGAGCAATTTAAACAAGTATTTCTTATTTTCAGTTTTAAAAAAAATGATTATGTTCTTCAAATTTTCCTCAATTGTCGTAATTGATAACCGTGAATTCTTGTATTTTTTTAAAAACTTCAAAATTCTCATCGATTAATTCTTTACGGCGATAATTACTTTACTATAGGGGGAAATATTACCTTAAAAATTATTTATCACTATTATATTATTAAATAAAAATAATAAAATGCAGAGTCTCATTATTTATTATTGTGCAATTCTAGAAGGAAGCTTGAAAACTCGATTTAAATGGTCTAAAAATAAAAAATTTTTACTTGTAAAATGAAAAATATAACAAACCTAAAAGAAGAGCTTTTCGTTTTCCAAGATTTTCCAAGGTTTAAATTATTGCTTAACTAAGAAATATTGAAGCTCAATTACATTTTACCTTTAGTTTTACTGTTTGTGTCGAATTTAAATGAACTTTATCAAAAGTTCAAAAAAATGAAAAATTCTTTATAAACAAATGGGATTCTCTTTTCCCAATTCTTTTTCATTCATTATGTTTCAAATATTTTTCTTTTTACTTAAATTAATTTTACTTTTACTTTTACAATTACTTTTACTTTATTAATTACTTTTTTTACAATTTATTTTTTCGCAAAAAGTATTAACAAAAAGATTTTAAATATATAAATTTACTTGAAAAAGAAAATTTATATGTTTTGTATGAAAGTAATGAATTAGAAAATCTAATGAGAACGGTTTATAAATCTAATGAGAACGGTTTATAAACTATATTCAGAAATAGAAACGATCTGTCGCATTTCCTTCCTTTTTTCGATCGCTCATTTTTCTTTTTGTTTCATAAACTATTCGATGTTAAATGTGGCAAATGTGGCAAATTAATATAAATGGACAACGAAATTTAATATAAAATTGAGTTTTTACCGTATTTCTAAGTCAATGAAATAATAGGGCGGAGTCGTGTATTGACGACTATTTAATGGGTGACCGAATGGGAAGAAATATTATTAAAAATAATAATTTCGTATTAAAATTGCTTAAAATTAGCAAGGAAGAAAAAGAACTCAAAAGAAATTAGTAGGTGTAAATTAATAGAAAGAAGAGATGAGAAATTTCTTAGAGTTTAGTTAATCCGACGAATTTATAAAAATTATTTAAGGCATTAAATTGTGATGTGCTATTATTTTTGATTAGAAGCATGAAAGAAATCAGAGGAAATTTCTCATAGAAAGACACAGTTAACTTTTGAAATTTAAGATAATAGCAAAATATGATACGAGGATTTTGCTGAACCTTTCGAGATCATTTCGAAGGACGCAATATGTTAAAAATCATTTCTAAAATAAAAGAATTATTTGCTTTTAGTGATCCTTGAAAATTTTTAAAAATTTAAAGGGAATCCCAAAATAAAAATTTCGAGAAATCACTCCTTTAATATATTTAATCAGCTGGTGGAATTATTTCGCATTATTGAAATTTCTATAGTTTCTTTTTTTTTATTAATTCTAATCTTTTTTGATAAAAATAAAATCAGGAATTTTTTGATAAAAATCAGGAATTTCAATGGTTTTAAAATAATTTTTTAGCACCAAAAGCACCAAATTACTTTCATTTGCAATATTATAACGTTTAGAAAAATAATTGTCGAAAAAAAATAGAATACATTTTAATTAAAAAGAATAAGTAATAATTATTGAAATAATTTTTGAATAGCTCAATTTTGTATTTTGTATTTTCTCGATTCTTTCTTCATTTAATCCTAAGTTTATCGAGAAAAAAATATCTCAGAAAATAATAAATTATCATTCATCAATTGCATTAGAACTGGTTTATTTAATCCGGCATTTATTTAGTTTTTAAGATAAAAATTATGAGTGAAATATAAACAATAAAAAAATTCACACCACAAATAGTAGCAAATGAAACCTGAAAATTTGTAAAAATCTTAATTTATTAATTATAAAATATAATTAACACAAGAAAAGTATAAGCTTGATAATACGTAATAACCACAAGGACTCATTTGTATTTCTATCGCCACTCTTCCTAATTGCTAATATATATTGTCAAATTAAACTAGAAATGGCCAGTGCTATTAGAATATTTCTCTTCGTGAAAACTATCGAATAAAGTTTTTAAAAAATTTAAAATTTATATATTTTCGAATTTATTAGATTATATTCGATTTCATTAGACGATTGTAGTTTAGTTTTATTTTAATGAAATATGAAAATTTTTAGCATTTAATTTAATAATGCAAATGCAAATTTAATAATGCTTTTTTTTTTTTTACTATAAATCGCTATAAAAGCGATTTGTTAAAATTGTTAAATATTATTTTTTATTATTTTCTTCATTCATTTTTAAATATTTGTTAATCGTTGTCGAACATCAATTTTAGATATTTTTCTCTTAATATTTACATAGCAATTCACAGAAATTTGTTTGTCAATTTAGTTCGATGAATTTATTTAATACAATCATTTTGATTGTTATACGCAAATCTTTAATCATATATTTATTCAACACCATAATTCGTTGAATCAGTAGATTTTCAATCTAAGTAGATTAGTTTTTTTTCTTCTTTTATTTTTTCTTACTCTACAAAAAAAACCATAAAAAAAAAGTAAGTTGTTGTCAAAAGTATGACAAGCAATGAATTAATCGAATTTCTTCTCGTATTGAGATTAAACAATTGAAACGAGGTAAATCAATTACTATTACAATCTTATAAGTGAAATTTGAAAATCATAAAGAAACAGCATCAAATTATTTTCATATAATAATGCAATAATATTTTATACGTTTAATCCTCCTCGAACCCATTTAGTTAATATTTATGATGGCCCATTATACTAGTGAATTACTTTAATTGATTTACGACTTTTCTTCAGTTAGCATATTCGTATTATTTTGAAATATGCATTTGCTCTACATTTTAGTTGATATTTAAGGGTTCATGAAAATTTATTAATATTTTTCTTTAAAAATTATCATTATTGGATGTAGAAAATTTTGAATTTCGTTTGGAATTTTTTGAAATATAATCCAAAAAAATGATGGATAATAAGAATGTTATTGCTGTTATTGTTATCGTATGTATAATTTAAAACAAATTCATAAATAAAAATAAATAAATAAAAAATTTATAGTGAGAAAATTAGAAAAGGATTGAAGTAATGGATTTCGAATGAGGTAAGGATAATATAAAAGCAGAAGCTGATTTTTCCATTTATCTTTGCATGAAATCCATTTTTTTTTCAGAAATTTTTCAATACTTGCCATATTTTTGCATGACAGACCAATAATTAATTTTCAGATTCATTAGCTAATATATTTGTGATAATAATATTTAATATTAACAATATTTAATATTTGATAACCGGGGTTTTAAAAAACAATAAATATTAGCAAATTAGAATTATAATTGGTAAGGATACGAAAAATTTCGTTGGAATTCGTCGACTTTAATTTATTAATTTTATATTTAGAACATTCACCATTTATTGTTGGCTGGTTTTGCTTGCTAGAGATCCTTTTCCTAGTGATAGAGTTTTATGGGATTGTTTTGAACGGGTGGATTTCCAGCTCTTCTTGGATAAAGAAAATTTTTTGGCTGGTTTGCTCGTAGGTAAAAGCCGAATCTTTGCATCAATGCATAGTCTGAATGAGCATCCATTCGGTTATCCTGCCCGTCAAAAAGAACTAATTTTAATAGAGCTAATTGGAATAATTTTAGTTTTATGATTTGAATTTTAATTAACTAGGTTATTTATAAGCCAAAGATTAACTAAAAATTAAAATTTAATATAATGTCAGCTGTTCAAGTCACCTGAATGAAAAAATTCACTTTGATTGACCATATGAATAGCTGAAATGTTATTTAATGATTTATGGGAACAAATTTTAAGAAAAATATGATTTCAACAATGAAATATTTTAATTTTATTTTACAGTTTTATAATTTCAATTTTATATTTTTTAAAAATTTTTATAATTAATAAGAAGGTAGGACTTTTTATTTTTTTATATAACTCATCATTTATGGGTAGTAACGGTCGTCGTCAATTTCGTGTACATCGGGTATTCTATCATAGGCTTGGAGGTTCCGCGTAGTGTCTTAGCTGTTCCCTAGTGTGCGCTTTTCGAGACAGAAATCCCTGATGTTGTTCCGAGAATCTGTTGAAATCAGCTTTCTAATTTAGAAGTCAAAAATAACTAGCACTCTTTACCACTTGCTTTACTTCGGCTTTCACTTTATATATTTCTCTAGTTCCTTTTTCGACCCCCGATATTTCTCTAGTTTCTTCTGTATATATATATATATATATATATATATATATGTTTATTTATTTATATTTTATAAATATATTTATATATTTTTATATATTTATAAATATTTATATTTATATTTTATTTATATATTTTAAGTATCACAAAGTTTTGCGTTTATCTTTCAAAAACTAAAGTAATGCTAACAATTTTGCGATTCTGTGATCACCAAGTGACTTCCTGGTGAAATTCATCTGTGGTTTAACAAGTCTTCAAAGCGAGCCTAAAAAGCAGTAGTGAGCGCTTTTATAAAAAAAAATACCATGACCAATTGCTGATCAATTGCTAGGAAAAATAATTCCTCAATGATTCCTTTATTCTATTTTAGGCGCCGATTCGATAGGAGCAATTATGCTAAACTGTTCGAAATAAAAGGTAGTGGTAGACATCCAGAAAAAATCCAGAATATTTTAAACTAATTTTGGACTAATGAATTTTGCGGCAACAATAAGTAATTGCAATAAATGATTTTAAGATAAACAATTAATGATTAAAAAATGGTCAAATAAAATTATAAAATTGTTTTGATGGACGTTGATTAATAACAAAGAGCTGAAAGATTGAATAATTCGAGTAATCTAAGTGTTCATCGTAAATGACAGTTGGTTTCTCTTGCTTTCTTTCTAGATAGCTAACTTATTTATTATCTGTATTGTCATCAATCGTTTAATAACAAGGGAAGCTGAAATGACAAACTCAGAAAAATTAGGAAAATTGCTTAATGTGATTTGAATAAATTCAAATATTTTAGATTCTTTTTGGCTGCTTGAAAAATTTTCTGTTATTTAAAATACTTTTAGTATAAAATTTTTTTTTTGGAAATTAAACATATTTTAAAAATTTTACAATTTTGTTTTTTCGGCAATATTATCAATATTATCAATTATTTTTAAGTAGCAGTTTGCTTCATATAAGATTTCAAATATCATAGATTCGATTCTTATCTCTAGTTGAAATAAAAAAAAAGCATTAAAATTAAAGTAAAATCTGGATGAACAAGCTTCCTCAAATGTCTTTAATGAATGGATTCTTAACAGCAAATAGAATCAATCAGACCAGAAATGGTATATGCTGTCAAAAAGCGAGTATCATCTAGCATTTTTGTGCTGAACTTTGGGACTTTTTAGGTTTTAAATAAATAAAAAATTCATTGGACCATTATTTTAGAAACGAATTAGAAAATGAAATTATCTATAATACTCGTTGTTCTCTTGTGAACAAAACCAGTTTTATATTTTCTATATTTTTGTGGCTTACAATCCCTATAGTTTTCTTTTTAAAAAATTTAAATACAATAATTCAATCATATTTTACTGGATAATCTTCAACTAAATACCAAATTTTCCTATAAGAAATGCAAACTTGAACAAATTTAAAGAATCGAACGAATTTTTTTCTGTATATTCTATGTTATAAGTGTAAAGAGCATTCACCACATGCTTAGGCTAACTTCATTGGTTATCGGATCAGGTAAATTTCGTCAAAGAGTCATTTAGCGATAGAAATACAGGTGAGTTACCAGCATCATTTGATAAGAATGATATAATTGGTTAGACCTAAATAATTATAATTTGTGATAGAAATTAATGATACTTGTACCAAATATGTCCTTCTTATTTAAGGATTATGGTAATGAAATATTCCCATAATGAAATCAATAAATGCTTTTAATACCGTATAGCAAAGAGATATTTATCCATTATCTGCTACTCAAAAATATTATTCATGAGCATTTATTATCTTCATCTTTATCACTATTCATTATTTTTATCCCATTTTCATTTATTAAATTGTGTTCTTCAAAATATTTTCATTAGTTCATTAACTCGCCAATGTAAAACGTTTAATAGAAAAATATTAGAATTTTAAAAAGGCATTTTGAAGTTGTCAGTTAACTGGAAAGATTCTATCATTTTGAATTTTTGATTAACTGATTCATTTATTATCTCTTATTTATTAAGAATTTATCGGCCCACTAAAATATTTATAAGATTAAGATTTTATTGATAATCATCAGTTGATAAGCTAATATACTAATTAAAACAAAAAAGGGATAATACGTTTGATCTACGTTTAAAATGATATAATATAGTTTTTTGCAATTTTTTGAAATTGAAATAATCATGCATTGTCAAATATTTTTATTTTTAGATTATATATTCTTAAATATTTAGTAATCCTTTTTTCTGTCAATTATTCTACCTAAAAAATTCAAAAATAATTCGTTTTTCGCTATTTATTCATAGGTAATCTTACAATTTTCAAGTATGAAATTCTCAAGTGATATGAAATCTTTTTTTCCAGAAAATCTCCAAAACTCTTTGAGAAATTTTCTGATTTCTATATCACATTTCCATTTAAAAAATATCTTAAATCATTGCTATAAAATGACATTAATTTTTAATAGTTTATTTTAGTAATTATTCGTTTCTTAACAATTATTCGTTTAAATATATATAAAATTCCTTTCTCACCTCCTGTGGGTGGTAAGGATCATCCTCAATCTCAGATGTTTTACCAAAGGCCTGTTAATTTTGCATTCCGTGCAATATCTTATAAGTATCTTAGCTTATCCTAGCAATACGCTATTGTGGACAGAAATTTTTGATATTGTTCCTGGATTTTGTTGAAACTACTTTTCCAATTTGTGGGTCACAGCTTTTAGTGCATTACCACTGCGGCTATCATGGCTTTCATTTCCCACATCTCTAAATATTTCTTTCTAATGTTCCTATATTTGGTATTGCATGTCAATAATGCTGATTTCTGGTTCTTATTTACTAGCATGAGATATGTATTTAAAAGAAATTATAAAACCGTGAGATTATCTGCATAAAGGATAATGCTTTGCTCGATTTTTTTTTCAAATAATAAATATAGTTAATAAAAATAATAACAAAAATTGAAGAAAATCAAACAGTATTAATCTGCCAGAAAACCTATCCCACTTAATCAATGAATTATGACTGCACGGCTTTATTATTTGCCAAAAAAGAAGCTAATAAGAATTTTATGACAGAAGAAAAATACTAGATTTGTCACACAGCAACTCTTTTATTAACTGTATTTGCAAAGAGCAATCGCTTAACAAGAAATAATAGGCTTGGACCACATTCTTCACTTATTTTAAATAGTAAGTAGCAAAAAAATTTTAAATTGTAATTGATTTTAAAAAAATTGTAAAAATTGTAAAAAAAAATTTTCGACTCTTGAATATTTTATTAAAAAATAAAGCCATATAATTAAGTTATTATAATTTTATTGACATTAATTATATAATTATATTCTTTTCAGTTATATGAGCTTTCGGATGATTCAAAGCGAAAAGAATGGTTAGACGATTGGCTGGGATTTATGCATCGGATAGGTAAGTTCATTGAGAATTTAAATCTTGAAGTACATATTATAATAGTGATAATAATGATTATTATTATACGCTTGCTGTTTGATAAAACAAAGCCATATTTAAAATAATGGAAATAGAAATGCGGAAATGAGAAATATTTTAAAAAATGATAAAAATAAAAAAATAAAAAAAATTTAGATTTAATATATATCTCACTTCGCTACTCATTTCACCTCATTTCGAATAATTTTTTTAAGAGTCCTTACCATTACTGGTTAGACTCGCTTTGCTGGCTTATCATACTGGGCAAATATGCCAGGGAGTACCTTGGCAATAGAGGTGGGTCGCCAGCATCACCTGGGTTTTTAAGCAGATTTATTTTTGCGGAGAATGAAAGCTCAGCATCGACGTTCTGAATTGCGCAACAATCCACTAAGTTATTCTAATCTTATTTCAAATAATAAGGAAACATAATGAAGAGATTTGGTTTAGGTGCACGTTGAATACATCGGCAGATGATTATAAGATGGCTTGGCACAGTTTTTGATTAGATATATGACAGGGTATAGCAAAACTCGATATGACTGAAAAATGCATAGAAGAAATTTTAAAGAAAAAAATTTTTTTTTTTTCAGAAGAAAATTAAAATTAAATGGAAATTAAAGCCATTATAAATGCCGTTATAACAGAAGTAAATTTTTGTTGTAAGAAAGCAAACTTTTTGATCAATCAAAAAGAATCATCGTTTTCTCATTAATCGAATATTTACATAGTTGATTGAATAGTTAGATTTTTAGGGAGAAGAAATCGTTCTTTTCTATGCTTTATAAAAACCAATTGAATAATGTAAACATTATCAAAAATTTTAGAAAAAAAGTAATTATTTTAGGGACTTTCGAAATCTTTCATTTTATTTTACAAATTATTCATATTATAATGAAATACAACTTTTTAACCTTTTAAAATTTATGCTAAAATTTTAGCCAATTTTTCGATTTTTATTTTATTCATAAAATCACTAAATAAATTAAACAACCACTTTTAATTAATTTATTATCGGGTAGTACTGGCGATTTACCATCGCCAGTTGACTCGCTGGCAAAATTTGTCTAACAAGTGGAACAACCAGAAATGATAAGGGCTCCTAGAGAAAAAAATTAATTGTAAAAAAAATTAAAGCGACATATAATTAACATTAACAAATATGCACTGAAAAAAAAATTTTTTTATCAAGAAATTGCAGCTCTGTTCAACTACAGTCATTTTGAAGCGATTATGAAATGCATAATTCTTTAATAGAAAAGTGCTAGTATTTCAGGTAAACCTGTAACTCGAATACCTATAATGGCGAAGCAAGTACTTGACTTATATGAACTCTACAGGCTTGTTGTACAACATGGTGGATTAGTTGAAATAATAAATAAAAAATTGTGGCGAGAAATTACGAAAGGACTTAATTTGCCTTCATCAATTACCTCAGCCGCTTTTACCCTCAGAACTCAGTTAGTTATAAGTTATTATTTCGTGTGATTACGCGAAATCTTTCGAATTGAAGCTGGAAAAATATTTATCGAATTTACTGGTCTATAGAATACTTTCTAAGTATATTAAAATTATATTAAGCTAGACTTCAAGATATTCATTGTAAAGAATGGAAATTTTATACCAACCAGTTTCCTAAAGCAAACCTATGAGATATTCATCTCGCCACAAATATAAGAGCAAATTTTGTTCTGTTTTTGGAAGAGTTTTTTTTTTTATAATTTATTGTAAAATTTATTAAACCCATCTTTTATAGCTTTGTATTTCGCATTTCGTGCAAATTAGACAAAGCATAGTAAAATATAACATAAGGGATAGCCGAGCATTATATTGCTTAAATTACCAGTTCAAACACCATGATTCGCTTTTTACTATATGGCGACAGAAAATCTGTCAATTAAAATCAAATCCGGGTGATGTTGGAGAGCACCTGTATATTGCTATCCCCATGTGATGCTATGGCGAAAGGAACTTTAATTCTAATAGCCAGCAGAGCAAGTCTAATCAGAAATAAAAAGTGCTTTCAATATTTATTGCTGAATTTGTGATAAATAAAATTGCATACGTCTGCAAAATAATAAGTTTATAATAGTTTCTTTTTTCGGTTGATTCGGTTTTCAGTTCAGTGAAGTTAGAAGAGAATTAATCGTTACTTCTTGATTTTGAATTTATCGGCCAAGGAGAAGCATGCATGGCTAATTTATTTTTAAGATAGGCAGTCTAAATTTATGTTTAATATTTTCCAGAGTTAGCAAATTTATCGAATAAAATGAAGGAGATAAGTCCAAATAAACAATGAAATAAATGAACAAAATGGGTTATTTAGTTGAAAACGACTTATAATTTAGTAGGAACAATATTTTCTCGTTAATGTAATCAATCAATTGAGAAACTTCTGTGGTCAAAATTCATTTATTACGTCAAAAAACTGATGAAATATAGCAATTTTGTTCAGATTTTGATTAATTTCCTTTATACTTTTAAAGTTGTATTTATAGATTCTTTTATAAATCATTAGAAGAAATACTATTAAGTAATTTGATAATTAATTTTTGAATAATTCAAAATCGCTCTCTTATTGTATGAGCCAATTCAATTGTTTGGTTTTTTAAGCTCTCTTGATGATAATTGATAATTTCTATCAAAAAATTCGCTGTCTGAAATTTATAAATGAATATTTTCGCCACGATCGAACTGAAGAAAGATCCAATATATATGTGCGAAAACTGTAACTAAAGTTATTTTTGATTCTCTTATCAATATCTTCAAATTATAATTTGATCCCATTTGTAAATTCTATACGAATATCACCATTAAATCATTGGTAAATAAAAAATATTTAAGAAAAAAGAAGATAGATTTAATTAATTGTATAAACATTTTTAATTAGTTAATATTTGCTAGTGAATAAATATTTTATAGACTTTTAAAATAATTGAGTTCGTTTATATTAAATACAGATGTTGGACGGGGAAAAAGTAGATAATAGATAATACAACTAACGATTATCGAAATTCATCTATAATATTTCTTCTCCAATTAATTCTTCAATTTTCTTATACAACTTGAAGGGATTCGGAAATATTTAATAAAATTATGAATAATAAAATTATGAAAAAAATTTGCATAAAAAAATTTATTTATTTTGCATTTATTTTCCACAGATTTGCCAACAATTAATTTTCCATCATTTTTTTTCCACTTTTACATTGTACTTTAAATTTTTTTTTTTTTTTTGCATTATCTATCAATTGTGGTCCATAGGACAAAGAAAATTTTGGTTTTATTCCTTTTAACTACTTAGTTGCATATTTTTTATTTTCAGCTCTATGAAATTCGGATGAATTTTTTTTTTTCGAAAAAATGACAGAAAATTTACACAAATGATATTTTGTTGATATAGGACTTTGATATAGCGGCTGTCTGCACAAATTTTTGGGAAATACTTTTTGAGATTTATAACTTACCAATTTATTGTTGTTTTTCCATTTTATTTTTGCAGGCGGTCGAACAAAATAATTAATAAAAGTGCAATTTCATCAGCTATCGGACTTATTGAGTTTTTTATTACAACAAGTGAAATAAATTTTTTTTTTGTAGCGACTTATCTGAAAAAAATTGCATAAACTCGAATTGACAAAATGTTGATAAAGTATTTTGCTAAAATAAAATAAACTGATAGTGAATGGTAGCTCGGATTACTATGTTATAAGTTAATGATTTAATTTTTGATAAGATAAATCTATGAAATTAGCAAATTTAAATTCGAGCGACAATATTGGCGAGTCACTTTATAATATTTCCAGAATTCAAAACCAAATAAATTCCTAGCAAAATAGGCAAAATTTTGTAATCGCAACAATCAATGGATCGAGTAGAAATAAAACAAAAAAAAAATCGTGGCGACTAATCAGTTTATCACTTATCAGTTTAATAATTGTTCACTATGTTGGATTTTATTTCTTCATTTTTTTTTTCACCTACAATTCTTTATAAATTTTAATCAAAATTTTTACACAAAAATTTTTTCCTGAACAACTGTTAATCAATAACGATAACTGTCGAATAAATTTCTTCGTAATAAATGCCAATTTTTTTGCGATTAGAAAGCATTTTGAGATAGATTAGATGGATCAAATTCCGTCGTTTTTTTTTTTTTTTTTCTTTCTAGTTATCTTAAATTCAATATTTTATTATTATCAGTTTTCAAATCATTTTGCTCTTCTACTTTTCAATCTCTTCCAAATGAATAATGTTGAAAAAGTCTATTCGTTTAGCTCAATTTAATTCGAAATGAAAGACGAGTTTAAAGTTTTTGCTAACATGGCTAATTATTATTTGCAGTTGTACCAATGTAATGAGGGAAAGATTTAATATTATTATAAAATCGAATAGATGGCTGTCGACGCTTAAATATTCAAATATTCAACTGAACTGATTAATATAGCGTTAACACTGATTAACACTGATTGAGATTGATACATGACTATTATCACTATTGAATAAATCATACAAAAAGATTACTAAAAAATAGATTAATACTTGCTGATTACTATTCTGATTTGCCTTGCTGCATTGTTGCATTATAGTGGAAGAGCCTTTCATCACAGAGTCACCTGGAAATAAGTGGGTATACAGATGAATCTCTAGTAACATTTAGGTTTGCCTTTTCATGAAAGATTTGCTCTCATTATAATCGTTATTGCAGACTTACAATGAATGTGAGAATTATGAAATGCTGTAATAGACATTGAATAACCATATTTGAGCTCCTGAAATTGTTACTATTAGTAATTGCCATAAAATTCAAGGAAACTTCCGAACTATACTATTCAAATATCAGTGGGATTCATTTATTTGTTCCAGATCATGCAGTTCGTCATGATGGACATTAAAATATTTTTGCTATTTCATTAGGTGCACCATTTCTTTTTACTTCTACACGGGGCTGAAATATAAATACAATATATATGATGAATAATTTACGAAATTAGAGGTATAAATTTACAAGGCTAGAAGTGTAAATAGCTTCTATGGACTAAAAGCTTCAAGATAAAGTAGGCTCGAGATGTCATTTTGTTTTTAGAATTTTTTATATTTGCAGGTACCAGAAATTTCTTTACGATTACGAGTGTGAAAAAGAAGGTTTAAGCAATCCAGCAGATCTGCAACAAGCTATCGATGGTAATCGGCGAGAAGGTCGCCGTAATACAACTAATAGCTCTGCATTTCCAGCACTTACTTATTCGGTTGCTGGTGCCTCTGGATTGCTCACCAAACATTTAAACGGATCTCTCAATCTTCGCAATGGTTCTTCTTCATTTTGATTTCACTTATTTCATATATCTGTATTTTAGAAAAATTAATTACAATTTCTATTATATGGAAATAATTTTTTTTGTTTTCCACACTCAATTGAAAACTGCTCATATCAAATAATTTTGCAATTCTGAGACTAAACCGATCTCTTTGATAGGACTGGAAGAGGATGTAGCTTTGAGACCATCAGTATCGCAACAAGCCGCATTAGTGGCAGCTTACAGAGCTGAACATTATGCTGCACTTGAAGCTCAACAGCGGCAGTTCGAACGGGCGCAGAGGTACATTTTCAATAATTCTCAAAAAAAGTTCATTAGACTCTAGCTATGAATCCCTCTCATAATTTGATATCCCAGCAATTAGAAACCGCAGCAAAATTTTCTGAAGTGTAATGCTTTCCAGATTACATAAATTATGCAGGGAAAAATATAAGGTTTCTATGCCGAAAAGCGAAAAAATTTCTTAGAATGATTGACTGATTAATATGAGGTAAGAGAAAAATTAAGATTTATGCATGTTCCCTTAAATGTTCCATCAGTCGTTTTTTTTCGTACAAATATAAATTATAGAGCTGCAGTTGAGGCTGTTGCTCGCCAATCATTGCATGCATCTGCTGTATCAGGGCGTGAATCTACATCGTCAGTAGATTCGGATGGTCATCCTCCTGCGAAACGTTTACGTAATTCTTCATCAGTTACAATAGGAGGTAATGATGAGAATGACACTGCATTTACTAATCAGACGATGGATAAATTATTCAGTGGGATACCTTCAGCGCATTTGAAAATAACTAGCAGAAAAGGTTCTATCGTATTTTTTGATTATGAATCTGCTCAAGGCTTGTAAAGCTTACATTATTATTGGCTTAGCTTGCTGAGAAGATAAGATAAGTAACGCATACATCATATATCTAGATCGAACTCTATGCTTGAAGTTAATAAAAACCCCTTCTTTTCTCACCGTCTAAGCTTTTAGCTTTTAGTTGGGCCATTTACGAAATTCAAAATCTTGATCACATCAATCCAAACTTATAGGATCTATCAAACGGTACTATTTCCTGTAGCAGACAATGGCCTAATTAGCTTAGGCGACGATATTAATATATATAAATATTCGAGTGCTCAATATAGTCATGTTCATTATGTAAAATATACATCAGTTTAATAATAATTTATTATTATCACCACTTTTATTATGTTATTATAATCATCTTAAAGCTTAATTTACCATTTCCGATTTCTATCATCTTCGTTGAACTTCATCAGCAAAAAATAACTAGGGGATCCACAACATCACCCGTATCACGCTCTAATTCGCTCGAAGCTAAACATTTCTTCATCATTTTTCTATCGTCATTTAATGAAGCGAATAGAATAACAATAAATAATTTATAAATATTTTTTCCTAATATATATTTTTAACTTTTATTTTCTAATGGAATTTTTATATTATTTACAAAATAAAAGTTTAAATTGCAAAGAAAATAAAAATTGATAGCAATCGGTTAACTTTGCCGTTTATTAAAACCGGTTTTCATTTAAATATTGCTTTATTTCTGGTAATTCATAGGAAAATTCATAATTTATTTGATTTATTGAAAAAGAAATCGGCGAATATTCATAAAATGCTATAAATGAATGAATTCAAGCAAATAATCGGAATGATATTTTGGAAACTCTTTGGAAACAAACGAAATTCTCAATTTAAATCGCTATTAAAAGAAAAGACCTGTGGAAAAAATTTTTGACCTATAGTTATTTTAAATTTTTCTCGATGAAGAAAATAAAAAATTTTATCTAAAATACTGAAAAATGGGCATCGTTAACATGATTGGGTCAAGTATATAAGTATCCTCTGAGTATAGAGAGATCATGTCGATTTACACAAAAAATACTCTTTCGGAAATAAATCGGCCTGGATAATACATCTTATTTGCAGATGGACATAATTCAGAGAATTCGTTAGTAGTCTCAATGGAAATCAACGGTGTAATGTATCAGGGCGTATTGTTTGCACTGAATGGAAATTCCTCAAGAAATTCATCGTCAGAAAATGTCTCTGGATTAAATCTTTCAAATTCAATGAAGATTGCTTTATAGAATTTGAAAAAATATATTATAAAAATATTAGGCATTGTTAATAATATTGTTTTAATATTTTAAATGATCTTGTAGATTTTTTTCCCTCATTAAAATGAAATTGTCGACGAAAAACAAATTAAGTTATAAATTGAATTAAAATTATTATTTTTATGCATAAATCATTCCAGATAATATGAAAATTCCAAAATTTTCTGGAAAGCTTTAACTGTATTTTTACATAAAAATTCCAATAAAACTTCCCAATTTTTTTTTTATAGTTAGAAAGTTAGAGAGATTTTCTTTAATGTTTTTATTTGACGTATATTTATTTAAAATTTTTTGCAATAGTGCAAAGTGGCACTTTAAATTTTCTTTCCTTAATGGATTTGTAATTTAAATTAATACGCTTATTATAATATATAATATTTAAAAAATTATTATAATATATATAAAAATGAAATAAATATTATATATATAATATTTATTTTATTTTTTTTGGTATTGAATATTCTATTTACTGGTGAGGATAAAGCAACCAAGCAAATCCAGGCTTCTTCTAGCTCCATCTCGCATGAAAATTCCTTCATTTAATTCAAAGGTTTGATAGCAGAGGATTCTATCGGACCAATGAATGATAATCTCTTTGAATTCTTTTCAATTGTATGTCGCATTGATAAAATTTAGGAATTTTTTAAATTAATCCTTTGTATAATTTGTTATTATTTAAAAATATAGTCAAATCAAGGACTTCCAATTATTTATTTATGTTTTATTTGAATGATTTTCTATTTTTTCATTAATAATTTGTTAAAAAATTTTTGTCGATAGATTTCAATTAAGTTTTTTTACAAAGGAATTTGGCGATCGTAATATTATCATAAATTATGAAAATTTTTCCGTTGACTATTGAAAATTATCCTAAAAGTCCTAAAAATTTAAATCCTAAGAATTCAATTTGATTTCGCATTTCCACTATTTAGAGCCTATTTCCTAGTATATTTGTTTTTTTTTTTTATACGTTTTATATGGGAAATTATATTTATAAAAATCGCCAAAATTTTATAATTTAGGCGCTTTATGCGAGAATATACATATATATTTGTATATAATTTTATGTAAAATTTAATTAAAATATATGTAAAGTTTTTTTGATTGAAATTTCTTTTATTATAAATCGAAACTTTCTTGGCGAAAAAAATCTGCTTAAAAATAAATTTTTCTTTAAATTTTTTCAAACGAACTTGATTTTCTTAATTTATTTCTTCTTTTTCATATATTTTGAATTAATATTTTCGATTTCAAATGAATTACAATTTTATAAGTTTCAAATTCATCTAAAATGTTACCAGTGACTATTAATGTTTATAATCGCAGCACTTTGTAGTGATTAATTTTAATCACTTCCGGTTTGGTCGGCCAAGAAATCACTTGCTGAAGGTAAGTCACCACACACTCGGATGGATTTTTTGAAGACAGGTTTGGTCCTTTCGGTTATAGGATATAAATCCTTATCACTCGATCTGAATTGTTGTCTATTCGGCTATCGTGCTTCTTTAAATTTTATAGCTTGCTGCGAAAAGATTTTGATGGTAATGCATTATCAAAAATTAAAAAAAAAATTAAGAAAATAAAGTACAAAGATTATTATTTATTATTAAAATTATTATTAATTATTATTAATCATTTCTTCGTGATATCGGCCAAAGTCTATGTTATCATAAATTTTGATATTTTGGCTAAAATGAAGAAGACATATAAACAATTAGATTATCAAATGATGCAAAAAAACTGGTTCATTCTTTATAGATTTCTATGATTTATGCGACCAAAAAGGACGAAATCCACGAAAATTAATAATTTCATTTTCTCTAATTTTTATGTTTGTTGGATGCATTATTAGTTATAATTCTGCGACATTTCAGTTCATCATTAAAAATTTATTAGCGATTATATAGGAAAATTTAAGGAAATCGAAAAATATTTTAAGATTAATAATTTTTATCAATTTTTATTAATTATCGTCGATTAATTGGTGATAACAATAAAATGTTTTTATTTTATAAAAGAAATACGTCTAAATACTGATAAGTTATATAAGTTTTGTTGATTTGAATTTATCGAAAGTCGCGCCAAACATAAGATCACATGAAATAGGATTTAATATATCATGAGCCACAGATTTATTTAAATCAATAGATTTGTCTTCCGTTGAGTTTAGCGAGAAATTTCCGCTGATTCCGGCAACATACATTGTCGAAGATTTGAATTTACCGAAAATTGTATTCATTAAAATTACTTGTTGACCTTCTGAACATAATATTTTATCAATATTTGGTGATATAATTTCTCGTTCAATTATTCTCGCTGTTTTAATGTATTTCGTGATTTCCGTTAGGTTTATCTGCAAAATAATGCCGTAAAAATTTTGACAAAATGATATAAGGAATTATTCTGGATATATATAAAGTGCAAAAGATTTTATATTTCGTTTGCCATAATATGTTGTCCCTGAAATCCCAACGTTCTGAAAACCTTTTCAAGGATAATTATTTGCATAATTTAAAAAAGCCTAGCAAGTCGAATTCGAAGACTTTCTACAAAAATCTATAGAAATCATAAAGTCAACCTTTTTAAGAGGAATCATAAATTTGATAACACCAGGCATTGAATTCGAGTTTGTCTTATGTATAACAACATGAAGCTGAGGCGTTTTTAACTTCCAATATTCCCTCGCATCGTAGATATAATTAGCCTGAAGCAACTTTTTAATGAAAATATTTAAAATATTTTGATTTAGATAAAATATATCATTTCAAGGTCAAATATGAGCCAATTGTAGAATTGTGAAATACTATTATGAAAAAATTTCAAAAATTCTTAAAATATCGCTGAAATTGTCAAAAAAATTGTCCACTGTAATTGGCATTTGGTGTCACCACTAATTTGATGGTAAGAAAATAAATGCAAATGGTTCGAATTCGTCCAGTCGACTCGGATAGCAATGTCGCCGAAGGGGGAAGCAAAAAGAGTTAGAATGGTTCAGTGGATTATTGCTCAGTTTGGAGGGCCAATGCTGAGGTTCTATGCCCAACAGGAATAAGGACTTGCAAGGAGTCCAAGTCTCTGTGATGCTATGACTCATTTGTATTATCACCAAGTAATTCTTTGGTAAAATCCAAATCCAAGTTAGCGGAGCGAGCTTAGCCAGCAATGGCGAGTGCTCTTAGACAAATTCAAACTGACTCAGAGCAGTAGATTTTCAAAAAAGTTGAAGATAAAAGAAAAATGACGATTACTTCATAAGGAGCATTTTTCTCAACTTTTTTTAAATATTTGAAATCCAATTCAGGGTGACTGGTCAGCATGACTACAGTTACTGGAATCCTTCCCTCTTCAGACTGCTTGTAGATACTACCGTTAATCTTTGTATACTGAAATTCAAAATTGCCAGCGAAAATCATCTATCTAAATCTTCAGCTGATATCATTTAATATGAAAAATTTAGGTTTTAACTAGTAGAAATTTATATAGAATTAATTCACTTATTAATTTGCTTTTAATTTACTTTTTTTTCAAACGAAACCTTCTTCAGAATAAAGATTTATAAAGATAATTAATTCATTATGAACCCATTGAAGCTTATGAATATTATGGATAACAAAGCAATAAAAATTGGAAGGATCTCACCTCAAGAATAAGTCCATTTTTAGTCTCATGAATGATAAACTGAAAAATCGGTAATGACAAATTTGCAACTAACGGCAAAAAAATGAAAAGGAAGATTTTGGAGAGCATCCTGAAAATTTTCTAAGCAAATTGCATTAATAAATATTAATAAATTATGCAATTTGATAAAAAATAATTAACGTGTTTTGGCAAGAACTGGTAATATTCTTTCCTCAGCTAATAATCGGCTAATCATGAAAGAGAAAAGAAATTTTCTTCGCCCATACGAGAAACGAGGACAGAAGCAATTGCTTCAGCTACAAGTAACTTAAAAGTACCAACTTAATCAAAAAACATTTTTTAACGGAGTGAATTAATTGTGATTTTGGCTTCTTGGTTAACTATCAAATTATAGTTATCTGAATTATTTAAATTATCTACTTGGAATCAAAAAAATTACTGAAAACAAATTATTGGTAGTAAAATAAATTAGCAAAATGCATAATGAAAGTTTTACTTTTTAAATAATTTGCTAAAATTTTATCAGAAATAAATTCAAAGTGAAATTTTTATTTTAATCGTTTAAAATGAACTAATGCATATAAATTAATGCATATCTTATTAATTGTCAAATTTCATGTGCTCAGATGGCATGGAAAGCGAGAGGAATAATTAAGACTTGGATAACATGATAAGGAAAGATTGTACATACTGTCAGCGATATATGAATTAGCGATTTAGACGGAAAAAAGAGCAATCTCTATTTTTTCCACGTATCGGATCGGGAGGCTTGGATAAATCCTATTCTTCAACTCAGCCAACCTAATAAATAATGGTGCCAGCTGTTATATTTATAATAATTGCTTTCATTATTTTTGCACTATTAACATTGATAATAGCAATAACAATAATAATAATGATAATAGCAGCAATAATAGTACAGTAAGAAAGATAGGTGCCTGGAATAGAATTCCCGTATAGGTACTCTGAAATGTAGCAATAATCTAATCCACTAAACATTGAACCCTTATTTATACTGTGAAATAATTCTTACCCATGTTAATAGAAAAATTTATATAAGACCCTACTGATAAGTGAATCGAACATATCAAAGAGCGTTCTAATGGTGCTAATGATACTAACTGAGAAAGGAAACTGCTAAATAGCTAGCTCATAGCTCGAAACAAAACAGGTTATTCGAATGGTCAGTGCTATTAGCATTTTAATAAACAAATTTTGCGGCAAACATTAAAAATGAATGAAAAATTTCGCTAAATATTTCTAGTTTTTATTGTAAATCAGATGAAATATTTTGCCTATAACGGCATAAAGATTAGGTAAAAATTTTATAATGAATATTATTAAAATATTTTTAAAGTGCCATTTCTTATCAAAATTGAATTAATAAGGAAATAATAGATATATAAAAATAAATATTAAATATTAATATTAATAAATATATTAATAAATATAATAAAATAAATATTAAATATTAAATATAAATATTAATTTTTAAAATTTTAGAATAACACATTGAAGCAGAAAAATTACTAAGAGTAGAATTGATAATCAAAGCCGAAATATCATAAATTTATCATAAACATAAGATATTTACCAAAAACATTTATAATAAGGATAAATATTTTCTGAAAAATATCTCTCTGTTGTACCTCTCATTTTCGAAATACTCTGCCATAATTTTGAGAAATTTTTTAATCTCATCTGAATAAATAGATATTTCCAAAAATAAGTTCAAATTTACAGTGCAGTGCAGTATATAACGAAGTTTTGTATTACTAAAGGATAAGCTAAGCACTCCACAATATTATTAATAAAATTAATAAAATTCATAAAATTTCCTTATAAAATCTAAGTTTATTCAATAAATTATATAAACGAATCTCAATAAATAGTAAATTAACAAATAGTAAATTACATTCAACATGAATAAAATCTAATGAGTAAAAGTCCAACAATTAAATAGCCTAATTTATAATAAAATAGAATTTGAATAAATAATAAAACCTGAATAAATGAACCTTGCTTGACCATCTTCATTGGGATTAGAATCGTTCTTCAAGTGTGGATAATAGACAATTATAGCAGAACCAAATAGCAATGACAATTTGTATAAATATAAATATATTGTGCTCAAAAACAAGGCAAAACGATTAGGTCAAATATGAAAGGTCTGGCATTCGATGAAGCAAACGTCATAGGAATAACTCAAAATTGCCAAATGAGACCAACAATTTTAATCGTCAGTGACGACGAACACTGTCTAAAGAGTGGCTGTTTCTTTTATCTCTTAGTTTTATTTTTATTTATTTATTTTTATTTTATATTTATAAAATATTTATAAATTTATAAATAAATTATTTTATGCGATTGATGATGTATATTGCCGCGATTTTATTTATTATTTATTATTATTATTTTATTTATTATTTCGAATAAAAATTTGATTAGCACAGTTGCGTGCACTACGAACGACAAGATACGATAGTTTTTTAATTCAATTCAAATTATGTTTGCTGAAAATATTTAATAAAAATATGACTGAATAAATAAAAATTTAAAAAAATTATCGTAATTGAATATCAAAATGAATTTTTTTTTTTTTATTCACTCTACCCAGTTATTTTATTAAATAATCATGAATAATTCAATAATTTTTTGTGAAATAAGACCATTTAGAGTTGGATCATCTATAGTTAACAGCCAATTTTCTTAAGCATTTTACTTAATCAATTTGTTTTGACCATCACTAATAGAACGAATTATTTAGTATTGAAAAAAATAAATTGGAATCATGGCAAAAATAAATGCATGTTTGAGTCTATTTTGAATTAGTAAGAAATCACTTCAGATTTTTTGTTGAATATATTTATATAAATTATGAACAAAAAATATTTAAAAAATAATAGTCTTGATTTGATCTTTTGATCTGAAAAAAAAGAGCCATTGTCCCCTGTTATATGCAATATTCAGGATTTTATTAAATAATTCAGTTAGAATCTTAAAATTTTTAAATTTATTTTTCATTTGACGAAATTTTATTTTTATTTGCAAAACATTTTTATTTAAGGATTTTTAACAATTTAAATAAGAATTTCAATAGAACCTGATCTCTATTATTTAGAGTAATAAAGAGTTCTGATAAAGCATCGAAGAGGCATTAAGTAAATCTAACAAAGTCGGGAAGGAATAAGTATAACATTAACAGAACGATAAGTTAATATAAGTAATAAAGAAAAAATATGAAAAAAATTAACGAAAGATAAAAGAATAAAAAATGGAATTATTTAATTATCCTCAAAATATGGACCGTAACTTTTGTTTCGTTAAAATGAGACAAAATCGAGAATAAACCTCCTATTTATCAATTTGCAATTTTAACTGGAAAGATTAAAAATCTAAACATAGAATCTATTATAACTGACCTATATACTATAAAAATTCGAATTGTCAAAAAAGAATTCAACTTAATTAATACAAAATAAATAAAATTTCAACGAAAAACTTTTAAAATATATGAAATACATGAACATAAACACCTTAGATAAACACCAGAGTTTTCAAATATTTAGAAGTATCATTAACAATTGAAAATATTTAACGCAAATAATTATAAAAAAAATTGAAAATTGCTCACCAGAAATTAGGAAATGAAATTCGGGAAATTCAGGATACTAATTAAAGATTAAAAGAAGTAAAATAGCAACGCTCTAATAAGAGATATTTAACACTCACAGAATGCGGAACTATTTTCATAACAACGTTTATGATGTGGAGGATGCATGAATTCCTAAAATTTCATGAATTTATTAATATAATTAAAGCGCGATTTTCCGATTTTAAGAAATAAGATTCTCTTCAACGTTAATTCAGATTTATGATTTCAAAAAAATGTCTTACATAAGTGTTTCATAAAATATATTTTTAAAACGAAGATAGAATTTTTTTGGATGAAATGTTCTACTTTGTTTTATTATATTCTATTTTTTAATGCGAATTATAGCCAAAAAAAAGTGACAATAGCCTAGATTTCTTATAAGAATAATCAAAAATAAACGAAGAGAAATTTGATTATTGAATATGTGTAAAATGAACTAAAAACTATAACCTGTATTTGGTTTCCAGATCGCATTATGGCCTTATGAGAGGAACGTTTTGCATCAACAGATTCAGCATAATGAAACCGATCCCAACAAATTTCGCAATAATATTGTAAGCAACAAATATCGCCACAAAAATATGATGCATAACGCCCAGAACATAAGGATCCATTGCATTCATCACACATTTGACCTTCCATTACATAAGGTTTGATTTCAACCTTTAAATCATTGATAAAATCGCACTATAAATTTGAAATAATTGTCTGGAAATTTTTCAACAAATATGATGAACTGACCCTTTTAGTAATATCAGTATGAGGCATATGAAAAAATCGATCTCTGATAGCTGAAATGAAGCTAGAAATAGAAGAAAATGCCACACGAGCAGCACCTTTTGGATATTTTAATTCAGGATCAATATCGATACCAACATAACTCACTGTACCGTAAACGCTATTCATCACATCAGCCAAATCGCCTTAACTATGAAATGATGAATATTATTAATTCGAATTATATCATTTTTCCGCGCGAAATCAGATTTGATTCGGAAGCACTAACATTCTATTAGAAAATCCATTTAATTTCTTTTTAAACGGAAACATAGGAGAAAATAAAACAGAAGAATGATATAAGAAAAAATAAGAAAATAGAGAAAATAAAAATATATTCGGCAGATAATCTATTCAATAAATAAGTCTGAAAAAAAAGAAATATGAAACTTGCCAGCTTTCGTCGGCCGTGGTAAGCCGCCAAGAAATACAGTAAGTCGAGGATCCAGAGGTGAATCTGGATTCGGCATATATTCAATGTCACATAAACGCCACGGACGAATTTGTGCCTGTGAATAATGAAAATAATTTTTTATGTAATAAATTATAGCAAAAATTTCTAATTTTTTCTTTCTTAAACTAACTATAATAAACTTTCTAATTCTTTTATCATCTTCGATCATTTTTTCAAATGAAACAGAAACTGTATATAAACGAAACGAGAAGCCTTTCTCTCCATCAGTCGTGGCTAAAAAAAAAAAATCTAACAGGTTTATCTCGCATCGTTGGGCTTGAAATAAATAGATAATATCGATCTATTTCACAGTAGCACTTACTAACCAACAATCGTACTGAAAGCTCATTTTCGAACACTAAGAATACATAACCAGTCATAGAACGAGCTAAATAAAAAAGAATGATAGTAATGAAAACAATTATATTAAAATAAATTTGATGAATGATTTAAAACTTTTTTTCTCAACATCCGTTCAATATGATATGCACTAAATAAGAAAGCTTTCAACTTTCAATTATAAACTCAGTTCAAAAAATTACAACGATTTAACTGGTTAGAACAATCTTTTTGAGAACTTTCCAAACGACGAGGCCAATCGATGTGAACTGGACCAAATTGAGAAAATGTTGATGAAATCTCTTCTAGAACAAAAAATATAGAGAAAATGAAAAAAAAAAACTTAATTGAGACTGAAAAACTGAAACCTAACTAATAAGCTAATAATTACCCTAATTATCAGGAATTTTTTAAGTTACTTTATTTTAAGTTGTTAGCTGATAACGCGCCAAAAACCAACTCACCTTCGCTAACATCAATAGGTAACCCGCCAACAAATACCTTTCTTGAATATATTTCATGAGCGCCATCTACAATAAGGTATTCCTCAGGAGTTGAAGGAGCGCCAGGATTTCGACCCGAACAGAAATTATTTTCTGGAAGCATAATCAAAGATAAACCAAAAAAATCAGCAAAAATAAAACAAAACGATGAAATAATATTTATTCCACAGTATTTTCTCTGGAATTATCATCAACTAATAAAAAAGTAAATTTATAACCATAAATAGCAAATTGAATATTTGTGCTGGCGCCATTTAATAAATACAGAAATCACCTTTAGCGAATCTTGTTAATTTCAAATATGGGCGATGAAATTCATAATCGGATTCACGATGAGCTGATAGATCAGTTGCTTTGTCATCATTTATGCAATTATTATTTAAAAGTCTTAAACTGAAAATAGTTCTTTTGAATGAAATTTCTTCTATTTCTTCTATTTTTTATTTCATTCATTTTCATGGCTATTTCAAATTAAATCAATATTTTGCTTAACGCAAAATTTAAAAAAATTTCAAGCGTTTTAAGCGTTTACAAATAAAAATTTACTCCTTCATTTGCTGTGTGCAGTTGGAAAATTGTTGAGAGCAATTCGAATTTGTTATTTTACAAATATCCATTTGAGAAGGAAAAGATCGAGTATTCGTAATGGTATTAATAGATTCTGTTGGAGTACCAAACTTAAATTATTTTAATTATTTTAAGACTGAACAAGTTCAAGACACGTGTTTATGCGAAAAATAACAATATATTTCCATATATTTAAGTGAAAATTATCGTAATTTGAGTGCTTTTAAGCATGAGTGTATTTAAAAAACAGTGGAATGGCATATATTTAAGAATTCAATTTTTAAATGCATAATAATAAGCCTATATTAATTATTTATTTCACTAGTTCTTAAAGATAAGCTAAAAGCTGAATTCTATGTAAAAGCTATTATGAATAAAATCATATATAAGGAGTTGTATATTTTAAAATATAAATCAGTGAGTTGTTGATCAATTGGTAGCGCCGATGCTGAGGTAGGTTCGATTCCCGCACGAGTAAACCTATCCAAAAATCCGGGTGTCTCCAACATTTCTGTCGCCAAGGGACTCCCTGATATATTTGTGCGATGCAACAAGCCAGTGGAGCGAGTTTAACCAGTAATGGTGAGGACTCATTAAAAAAAAAAAAAAAAACAAATTTTAAAGCAATGTGCTGATGAATATACTCAACGAGTCAATAAAATAATAATAACGAAAATTATAAACACAATATAAAATAAATGATAAAAATGGATTCGCTTACTTGGTAAGTTCCATAATTCGGAAACGATTCTTGAAAAGAAGGAAAGTGATAAGTGATATTGTGACAATTATTCTGGAATTGACGATTCGTACTAAATTCATTACCAAATGACATTTTGATTCGTCGTTTCGATTTCGAATTTCTAAGAATTCAAAAAAAAAAAAAAAAAAATAGATCGCAACTAAATCGATACATATAAACGAAAATTATAGATGAAATATAGTTTTTATAAGCAATAATTTTCAGCAAATATTATATCAAAAAATTTCCAAAAAAACAAAAAATAGTTTTTTTACTTTTAATTTAATATTTAATTTTTTAATTTTAATTTTTAAGCTTTTTTTTTAGAAAATTTTCCCCTAATTTAGTTTAATTCATATTTGAGCATTTGAATCTAAGCTAAAAGCTTCATAATTTTACTCGAATTTATTTAGATTTGCTTAAATCGTTTCGCGTTAATTGCCTTTCGTAGAAAATTAAATTAAATTAAATTAAATTGAATAAAAATAAAATAAATAAATAAAATTAAATTATTAAAAAATTATTATAGGTAGTACCAATCCGCATCAAATCAAAATTGCCAATTAATTGCCAAAAAATGACTTTCAAAATGAAAAATGATATTTTAGGCGCAACTACCAAGGCAATGGTACCAAGTAGCAGTGGCGGCGATAGCCAAAACACCACGTCACAGGAAAAATTTGCATAAAAACTTCTCGCTCTTTTAAGATAAAATGTTGCGAACATAGCAGCACAATATTTCGTGGTAATTGAACTCCTATTCGATAGGTTTTTTATAGAAATATTTGAATTCCTTATATGAATTACTATTAATGTGGCATATGCTCACACCTTGCGGACCAAATAATATATATTAAAAACACCGAACTTGCTCGGTATGCATTCGATGTCTGACCAGTTTTTTCTCCACTTATTAATAGCCTAAGGGTGATCAAAAATCGCAAATGCTCTCTTTTTATGGTACCAAATTACTTCTTAGGTTACGCGAAATAAAACAATCATCTGCGTTTTGTTGTTAAATCTTTATTTATATCGAAAATAAAGCTGTGTTTATCACTAATATTTTGATATAAAATATTTTATCACTGATATACTAAAATTGTTGTATTATTTGATATTAAAAACCAAACAAACTAAACGATATTCAGTTTAATTTTTGAAAAATAAAATTAAAATTTTTTTAAAAAATCTAGAAAAAATGCTTACGAAATATTTCCACAAAAAATTCATCGCTATAAGATTTGTATTAAAAAATTAATTTTTATCTAATTTTATAAATTAATATAATGTATAAATAAATAAATATGTGCATACAAAATGAATATCAAATAAACATATCAAATAATTTATAAAAATTATATAACTATTATAATTATAAATTGTAAAGAAAAATTCAAAATTTTGAAAGATAATTTTAAAACGATTTAAAAAAATTCATTCAATTAAATATAAAAGAAAAAAATCATGCACAGCATTTAAATTACATAATTATCGCGTAACAAAGTAGAAATATCCCATAAATTATTGGTAATCCATGAAATAGTTATTTCCAAATTTAAAAGAAATACCGTTTAAATAAAATAAAATATTTAAAAAAATATTTTTAAATAAAAGTAAAATAAAATATTTTTTTAAATATTTTATCAAAAATTATATATGAGCCTGAAAAGAATGTTTAACAGTCATCAGAATTCCATCGAACATCAATTTAATCCAAGCATTTTTTCATAATCGATTTCATCATTTAATTCATCCCAGTCGTTTAACTAAAAGTAAACGATAGACTTCGATTTTTTAATTGATCTAATCAATTGATTTATTTTATTAGGAGAAATTCACCCTTTCCACTTTTTTTGATAACTAAAAAACATTTGTAAATAGTTAACGCTAAATCGATGAATAAACGATAACCTGTGAGTGTGACTGAAAAGGATTATGACTTGGTGTTACTTCAATATTAATATGACTCTGATGATTATGATCGCTTTCTTCCTTTAGATGGTTCCTTAATTTTCGATTTATGAGTGCATTCACTTCCGGATCTTCAAATGGATCTATCGATGAATGATTGTCTACGCATTGTTGTAATACTGAAAAACAAATTTACTAATTTTTCCATTCTAAAATGATTTTAGAAAAGGAAAATTAAATCCTGAAATACGAATCTGAATCTTCCTATGATATATAGATATATATTCATACAAATTTAACCTTGTTCTGATGCACTGAAAGAAGTACTTGAACTTTCTGCTTTATTATTATTGACCAAATAAGCTGAACTGATATATGTTGCCTCCTCTACATCGACCTCATCTTGCGGCGATGAATGACTATTTGACTCTGTAGAAGTGGGTTGGCCCAACTAAAACATACTACATATGAAAATTAATAATAAAGGAAAAATAAAAAAAATATCTACAAAGTAGAGAATGAAAAATTCTTAAACCACATAAAAAACCCAATGAGACAAAAAAAATGACAAAATTCCTACAAAATTTCTAAATTCCTAATAAATATCTATATATCATAGGAAAGTTCAGATTCATATTTCAGGATTGTAATTTTCCTTTTCTAAAATCATTTTAGAATGGAAAAATTAGCAATCTCTAAATTGCATGAATTTTTTCATACAGCGATAACCCAGTAGTTGCGAGAACATGATAACTTAAGAGAATAATTGAAACACTACGAAAAACGAAAATTTTATTATTTATTTAAATTTCCAATATTTTTATTTCTTAAACTTACATTTTCAATACCAAGACGATGTGCTATCTGAAGACGCAAAATATTAGGATCAATAGATTTTAGAACTTTCTTAATATCATTTGAATTCTTGTTAGAGTGGTTCCTGATAGAACGGAGTATACGCTGTTGTTTCACAGGAAGGGTCGGTTCAAACTTCAGTATTTTATGATTAAACAGTGCTGAGCTCATAGTTTCAAGGTATGCGTCACGTTTAAAATGCATATTATATATATTTACCTCAAAAAAAAATAACAGTAAATTTAATAATTTAATGTTAATATTAATATTTAATATTAATGAATATAACAAAATTAAATAAAAAAAGAAAAAAGTTCTGAGAATTATAGTGATGAAAAATAAAAGTTCTGAAAAAAAGTTAAACCAGTCCATAGCGATAGTGGTTAATAAGAAATACAATCAAATAAAATAAATTAAATTAAACATACAAATGCATCCAGATTACTGTTTCCTCTTAAATTTACTGGCTTCCTCCAGTTGTTTACATCAAAAATGTATTCTGGAATATCAAATACAGCGGAATTGTCTTTGCTGAAAAATAGTAATTTAAATGTTTAAAATATTTGAGAATATTTAATTGAATTTCAATTTAAATTTTGACTTCACAGGTAAAAATTTAATAAGAAATCGGAAATACACATAATCTTTGATATAAATGATTTTACACAGAAGAATTGATAGAAAAATAGAATTCTTGTCCTTTTGGCTGCTGAAATGCGTTGTCGCCATGGCTAATGGGAATCTGAAATTCAACGAAAATTTTATTATTTATTTAAATTTCCAATATTTTTATTTCTTAAACTTACATTCAAAATATTCAAAATATTCATTCAAAATAGAAAAAAAATTTAAGAAATTCTAAATAGAAAAAAATAAAAAAATTTCAAAATTTCTGAGAAATTAAAATTAATGAATTTATCAATGATTCAGCTTAATGCAAAAAAAAAATAAAAAACGATTGAAAAATTCAAATTGATTTTAGGATCTAAATTCAACTTGATCAAGAAACTTTGAGAACAATATTCCAGGGCTATTTGACAGGGCTAAATTTTTCTTCTAACTGCATTGCTAATAATTTGGCTAACAACTCTAACCACTAGATTTTTGTGAAATATCGCTTCCCAATTTCATTAGGATGAAATTAGGTTGAAAGTAATATTAATGGGTCTCTACCATTATTTGGAGTTCTTTTTGATGATTGGAAGCAAGAGCTAACCAAATTAAAATAACATCGATAAGTAAAAATTAAATAAAGATCAAAAATTAAAACAATCGGTAAAAATAAAAATAAATTTATTTCGATGGTAAAATGGTTAACAATGGTTAGCTAATATGTAACACAAATTTCTCAAAAATTAAAATGATTAATAAATAAATATAAAATTTTAAATTTCATATTTCCTAAAATTTTCAAACTTATTTAAGTTTAAAAATTTAAAACGAAAAAGACGTATTTTATATAAGATTTACAAAAAAAGAACTCAAATAAAATTCCTGAAAATTAGGATATTACGCAATAAAATAAATAATTACGCTTTTTTTGATTTCCTTCGCCGCCGGACAATGATCATCCGTATCAGCAGATTCAGATTCCACAACTGTTGATAATTCTTTGGATTCGTTTATATCTGCCTGCTCTATGCTATCAACTTGTTCGAAATCAAATGTGTTTTTTCTAAAATCCTCTCCAGAACAGCTTGCCTGAAGTTAAGGTAAAGTTATCATTAATCTAATTGCCATAAAATATTGTAAAAAAATGCGGAAAACAAATTCAAACTGAAGATAAAAATAGAAAAAACATCCATATCCGATACCTTATAATCTATATTAAAACTTTATTCTAGCATAGCTAAATACCGAAAATTTATTTTTCCAATAAAAAAAAATTTCTAATAAGAAAAAATGACCAAATAAAAATTAAAATTACCGTCATAGTGTTCCCAATTTCATTCAGGCCTTTTGTTTCAAACGATTTTTCGGAATTCAACTGAGGATCGTGGGAAGAGAATTGCTTCGGCGAAGTAGATAAATTCAGTCCATCATCTTTCTTTTCCAATTTAGAGCAATTTTCATTAATTGGCAAATCGGTATAATCACCTCTCTTTGCTTCATTATAAGAAAGATCATTGTCAAAAAACGTAGTGCAGTTTTGAACCAAATCATGATTCGGATCACAATCACTAACAACATTCACAATTGAATCGTTACTATCACAGTTATCAATAACGATCTGACGAATTTGTTCTCCAGAATTATCATTATCAATATCGCTTGTTTTAGAATTTAAATTATGACTGCTTTCGTCGTCTGATGCTATCGTTATAAGACTTTCTGAGCGTGACAAAGTATCCACTTTCTCACTGAATTTATTCTGATTATTTAATGCACCTTTCGATTCATCACTACTGCGTTCACTTTGAGTAAAAATATCTGGATATAAATAATGAAGATGGCTTGGTAAAGCATGTATATCAGGAAGTGGCATAAATCCTTCTTTCATTTGCGTTTCATCTCGTCGAGTCCAAAAAACGTTAGATGGCACCCATAATGGAAAAAGACAGCTCTAAATAATAATCGTTATACAAGAATTTTTTTTTTCTAATGGCGCTCACCATCTCTTCTCGTTAAGCTCACTTATCCGCTGATTTGTCCAAGCACATGAAAGAAAACAATTCTGACTCATAAAATTTCACATTCCAATTCTACAATTTCGATTAATTTCAGATCATTCTATTTTTAAATTTGGAGTTAATTTTATTTTTAACTAGAGATATTATAAAATAAAATAATAATAATTAAAAATAAATAATTCAACAATCAATTAATTTATATAAACTTTCTCAATAATAATACAACTTTTTACTCTCGAAAATAAATTACTTTATTTCGAACTCCTCTACAGCACCACCAGATTCGTTGATAAATGGCTCCATTTTCGTGAACCACATCCATCTCTACGGCTTCCAATCGTTGAGGGCATTGTGGACATTTTAATATATCGAATTCGTCAGTCTAATTAATTTAATTTGACTAATTTAACTAATTTAAAGGACAAAATTTTCAATAAAAAAAGGATATTTAAAAGAGAACGAAATATTTCAAAATTTTTATTAAATGCAAATATTATATATTACCATTTTCAGCGATTTTTCAATTGCAAAAATAAAATAATTATTTTTTTCTATCGAAATATATCTTACATTAATTTTGTTCCTTAATTGTAAAAAAAGAGAGCATGTTATATCATCCAAATTTGCCTTCTTTGACATTGACACCAAGTGATCTCTTTTTTCACTCATCTGCACACTTGCAAAATCATCAACGAGAGATCACTGAATGTTTTAGTAGTACAGTTAAATTGTGATATTTATTTTGCCTAATTCTAATAAGACACTAAGTGGAAAAATTTTTATTCGAATTTTTATTAAGTGTAATCTATGCAAAAAAGTGGTTGAAAAATATAAGTATAATGTCTATCTTTATTAATAATTATTAAATATTGTTGATAATAATTATTGCGCAATAATATTCGATTCTTAAAAAAAGAACTTACCGCCATAGATAATAAAAAATTTGTTACTTAAATTTTTGTTAATTAATATCACTGTTATTATTGTTAACGATCACTGTTAACGATCGATTACGACAATTTTGCAACGAGCCAAGCTTTTGAATTGAAATTCAACCTTAAAAAAATCCAATTCAATTCAGGAATATCAAAATCAGTTCGAAGACGATTAATTATGGATAACGATAAAAATTTTAAGCCTAAGCCAGTTTAATTCTCGATAACTGAAAATAAATAAGACATTCTCGACCTATTTTGCACTACACTGAAACCAATATTATCCACTTTCTAATCCTTCTAATCCTCTTTAAAATTGATTGAGAAAACTGTGCATGAAGCTTTTTTTGTAAAAATTCATTTCCTCATTCTTTTTACGTTTTGTTTGGCATACATAAAAAATTTTAATGGTACAATTGAATGGTAACGAACCGTCTTTTTCCGATAGAAGAAATTTATGGCGAACTTTTATTTGCACAACAACTATTCATAAAAAATACAATAAAACAATCAGCGATCTCAGATCATTTTATTTTCATATCTTTAATGAGAATTTTAAAAACATGGATTATGATTGCGACACTTTCTCAAACAAAATTAAGTTATATATAAATAATATGCATAAATAATAAATACAGAACGAAATAATAAGCGACGCAGTTTAAACGTGACCTAAGAAAATATCACGGATGAATGTCACGGATTAATCCTATACCCATCCAAGTTTTCTAATTTATCTAATTTAAAAAAAATAGAAAAATCTTCACAATAAATTAAGCTTATTTTATCTTATCTTATTCAACAACTGCTAAAAAATTAGCCATTAAAAATGGTGAGAACAGATGTCAATAAATACTATAAAAACAAATTTCTTATAGAAAGATATAAAATTTGAAAATTGCAAATATTAAGCTAAATCCTCTTATAAAAAAGAAAGGTCCTTACAGGTTATAGAAAAAAAGAAAGTAAAAATAGCAAGCGAATTACAAATAAAGCTAATAAAATAATAAATATTATTTTTTCCACATTATTTTTTAAATAATAAAAACTATTCTAAGATTTCAAATTCATCATAGCTGTCGTAAACATCTCCAAGATCGGTATAACCTGAAGCCATAAGGAATTAAAAATGCAACTATATAAATAAAAACTGAATAATTAAACAATAAATAAGCAAATAATGAGTAATCAAAAATCAAAATTCTTACCTTTAATGACCACTTTTTCACCAAAATATGGAATGAACTTGGGAAAACCTTTAGGACGAGTTTCAAGGAGTTCAAAAAGAGGAGGTGACGATGCCACTAATAAATTCTAAATTTTAAATATAAACAACAGCAAATCAAAATGATTTCTTATTTCTTATTTCAAAATAAGTTGAAAAAATTTTTAAAAAGCGCTACGAAAACCAATTTGTTTTTAGTAAAAATTCTGAAAAAACGGCCTCTCTAACTATTCACCTCACTGATTGAAAAATATTACATTATTATCAGTGTAAAATATAAAACAATATAAATAGAACTAACTTCTTTAAGTAATCTCCAAAGATCGCTAAGTTCTTTCTCTGTTTTACAAATGAATGCAAGAGCAAGAGAAGGATCCAAGTTTTCATATGGCATATTCATAATAAATGGACAATGATAAGTACTATCTTCAAATGGTTCGGTAGTTACTGCCTAAAAAAATATCGAATATGATGTATTATATATTCTTATATATATATTCTTATATATATTAAGAATATATACATATTCTTAATCCTTAAAACGAAATTAAATCGAAGAATTGCAATACCTCAATATATTCTTCACGTTGTATAGTTTCAAGATGCAATTTATCCAAATCAGCATAATCCTGACAAACATGTGGATCAAGATATATCATCTGAAATAAAAATCTCAATATCAATAAACAATCTGATATATGAATATATGAAACAACCTTACCTAGAAAGAAAAGAAAAGAGAAAAGCTATAAGCATTTGATGTTTCATTAATGAAATTTTTTATAGATTTTAAAAAAATTTCATAACATAAAATATGCCGAGATAAAAAAATGGTACGAACTCGATCACCAGCAATACCGATGAAATAAAGAGCATGATTCGGACGCCCTCCAATAATTCCAAGACTGTGTGGTAATTTAAAAAATTCCTGAAAATAATAACAGATGTCAGAAAAAAGGCAATACAAATAGAAATCAATAAAACGCACCAACTAAGGCAAACGACAGCAAAAATTACCTGAATAGCAGGTAAATAACATCTGTTGATTGTTGTAAGGCCAAGCCTTAATGGAACAATTAATAAAAGAGGCCTCCACTCTTCAAAGCAATCACTTTCGACGCTAGATAAGGAACTAGTATGTCTTCTGGATCTTAAGGTCGTCGATGGATTTGCTTGATTATCTAAAAAGCAAATAACCACTACAGCCAAAATAATAACCGAGAATAAAAATCAAATTATAGAAAACAAAGAGAAAAATTGCAACAGAAAAATGCTAACCATTGCCATTTAAATTCAACAATTCTATCTTTTCAACCAAACGAGGATTTTCGTTTTCATCAGACAAATTTTGTCGTGAGCCAGTATTAATAGGGAAAGATGTCAGATCCGATTCAGAAATGCTAAAAGCAAAAATGAGGAGTTAATTTTTTAACGAATGTTACAATATATATCATCAATTCTCATAAAATTTCAAAACCTTGAAGGAACCGGCGGTTTCAAATGAGCTATTGTCATTACATCACTCATGATCAGGACATTGTCAAGAGCAATGTGAACAGCAATACGTGACCAACGATCGTATACGACTAATTTTTTTAATACTTGAGCCACAGTATTGGGTCCAAACCATTCACCAATCTGTTTGCCTTCTGATACACCCATCTGTGCTAAAATAATATAAAAAGTAACAAAGAAGTGAAAAGGATAAAAAAGAGTTTAAAAATAAGTCGAATGATATAAATTTAAAAATTTTATTAAAAAAATTTATTATTACCAATCTGATGAATTGAGAAATTGCATTCTTTTTTATCCTGAAACATTTTCAAAATTCTCATATAAGTTCGATTTCGTGGATCTGTCTGCCACAACCAATCTGATCCAAGATGCAAAACTATTAATGCTTGACCAAGCAGCATTTGACCACATCGCAACATACATCCCCATCCTTGATCAGTGGTTGGTCCATTCCCACCTTAACAACATTTACTTTAATTTAATTTTAGCAGATTCATATTCTGATCATAGTGATATTGAATTAAAAGATTTACCAATTGGCTGGAAATTTTTCCGATAACTAAACCACAGCCTCGATCTGATAAAAGCTTTTATTTTGTCAAAGCCTGAAATATTTTCAAAATTCATCATGACATTACAAGCTGATATTTTACTCTATCATATTTTACTTTCAGTTTTTCAATTTTTAAATATTGATTAATAAGTTAAACAATAAATGAATTATAAAACATTTATTACCATCTTCACGATTGAAATACTTTCCTAACAGATAAATAATATCGTCCAGCTGGTATAGGGTACGATCTTGAAATTCATAAAAATTCGGTTCCAATACACATTCGAGCATTGGTTAGAATAATTTCGAATATAGCTTTATCGAAATAAAAATTATAAATCTAGAAAAATTATTATATTAAATATAAATAAAAAACAACCATGAATTTAAATTCCAGAAAATCGACAAGTCTTGCAACCACAAAATTCAACCGAGGTCCAATAGATAAATTAAAATTAGCGATAATTTATATGATAATTTATATGATTATATATAATTAATAAATAATAAATAATTAATACAATAAATTAAACATTATAATAATTATACTTGTGTGAAAAGTTGCCTAAATTCGTCGTTATTGCAGTAATCCAATATAAAAATATAACATCTAACATCTCATTCCGACTGTTCCAAGTATGAAAAATCTCTCTGCGCATTTTACATTGAGAATAATGTTTCATTAATTTTAAGAGGAATTTTCTAGGAAAGAAAGGAATCTAATTTAAATTAGCTGATGGCAAAATATATTTACAAATTAGAAATCAACTTAAAAAATAAAAAACCAGAGCGACCGAAATAAAAGCGGCTATAATTTTGAAAATTTGGTTATTTTTTCAATCAACGTGTTCCATCAAAAATAGGAATTATGAACCTAAAATTCTTAAAATTCTTCTTCTCCTAACAGCTTTCACCATTACTGACTAGGCTGATTATAAAAATAAGACGTCTCTAAGTAGTTCGGCTCGACCAGTGATAGAAGTCATTCCTTTCTGCATCGTCTAAATCCTTATATCGCTGGTCCACCAATATATTTAAAATCTTTTCTTACTGTTCCAGATCTTGACTGGACCACCTCTCTTTTTGATGCTAACCATCACGAAACTTAGCACGTATCAACTCTTGTGGTGGACGACGAAAAATGCGTCCTAATCAGCGGAGATAACGTTCTCTGATAGCACTCTTAATGCAAGTGGTATTTGAAAATGAAGGTAACAGCTTAACATTCAGATTTATATAATCTTATTAAAATTTTTTTTTTTGCACTCTTAAGGAAAAAATTATTGCCCAACATCGATAATTTTTGCATCTAATATATGTCTACATGTTTATTTTATCAAGAATCATGCGTTTCTGCGTTATCTACTAATCACATGTTTTATAGATATATAATATATATAAAACAAGCGATCAATTCTGCTTAAGCTACAATCGTTCGCTCCTTCTTCTTCTTCTAACAGCTCTCAACATTACTGGTTAGGCTGACTCCAACGGTTACAAGGATAAGATGCTTCCACTCTATAAGAAATCGTTCGCTCCATTCTATGAGAAATCTTTGCTAGAGAAGTTGCTCTAATTATGAATTGCTGGAATAGTGAGTGGCGTGGCGAGCACCACTCGGATTCGCTCCTCTCGAAGAAAGAGAGAATCTCGGAGAGAGAGAGATAAATTGACAATTCAACAACCAATACCACAATCGCTAAAATCCTAAATTCTTATTAAATGCCTAATAGCGAATATAGAAAATAAAATTTTTGATATTTTTCGATGCAAAACAATTCAAATTAAATTAAATTTTTCTCGAAAAAATAAAAAAAATCAAAATTTTATGAAATTTAAAAAATTTATAAAAAAAATTTCGCTATTTATAAACATTTATTAAGCGAAAAAAATTTTTTCTATTCATTAAACAAAACAATTAAACAAAAAAAGTACAAAAAACAAAAAAAACTCAAAAAAATCTCCCAAAAAATAAAACTCCAAAAAAAAATCCAAAAAAAAAAACGTTGGAAAACTTTTTCATCGATTTTCTAATGCCCAAGCTCATTCAATGTACGGCCAAACTAAAATGCAGCTTCACACTAAAAATCGTCCTTCGGCCACCATTTGTCTGTTATAGTCTTAAAAGTTATCGAAAGAGTTATCGTTTTTGTATTGCGTTTCTTTCTGGTTTTAGGATTGCTTTTATTTAAACGTTTCCACCATTTTATGCGACCAAAATTATTTACAAATTTAAATTCAAGAAAAGTGTTTAATTATTTAAATATTTAAATATATTTCAATATTCAATTTTTTTAGAATACAAAATCGATTTTTAACATTATTGCGAATTTCTTAAAATAACCAAATCAATATGCAAAAATTGAACGAACGAATCAAGCAAGTGCAGCGTTTAAAAAAAAAAAAAACAACTGATAGCAAACGATAGATTGCCACTTATATTGGCTATAAGTAAATAAGGGCTGAATAGTAATATGAGGTGTGGAGTTGGTAGTGTGAAAGGATTTGAGGGGATTCGAGGCGGTGGGATATTTAAGTAGAGTATTACTATAACGAGGTTTGATGCGAGTTGTGAAGTCAGGAAAAACCTAAAAGAGAATTTTTTTTTGACGGGCTGCTAAAGGTATATATGATTGAGCTGGCAAGATTAAGGTCAAGAGTTTTGATAAAAGTATGCTGCAGGGCTTAACAGTGTATTTACCAAAAGCTAAGGAGGTATACCAAACACTGCAATGATTAAACGTATTTTCCGATGAATGAACGTTGAAGAAATCAGTTTTGGAGAATGATCCGAATGATAAGAGAATCAACAATTAAGGTTGATAAAGCTGAAGTATGATAGGCTTTTAGAACGACTGCAAGAGCATCGCGATTCCGCAGTTTTTGGCCTGCATTTTCTTGTCAGATTCAGAAAGATATTGCCAATATGAAAGCATGACAAAGAATTTTGAAAATGTATGAACAAATCTAATAAATCCTTTCGATCATTTTTCAATAGAGGAGGATTCACCTTTTCCCTGATTTAATAAGACAATTCAATTGAAACATTGCAAAAACACAAATTAAATTCGAATCCTATTATTAATTATAGGTTTTTTTAAAATTCGAATATAACTTAAGATTCATTAAGGATCAGAATTAAAAATTAAACAAGTTATTTTATATTTATAAAATACTGTTTCGTTCTACTAGTTTAGATTAATATTCCACCTTAAAATCTCTTTAAATTCAAAAAGAGATAAGAGAATGAAGATATAGAAGATGATATGGTATCTCATAATTTTTTGCACCATCAGTAACCAGTTTCGAAAACTATGTAAACTATGTGGACAAAGCAATGTCGATAACACTATTTAGAATTTATCGAACAAATATAAGTATTAGTAAAACCCATTCTGACCAACGCAGTAGTTTTATATTATATGTTAATACTTCATTGATACAACGCATAGCTATTGTTATAATTGATGGAATATCGTATATATCTATTTTGTATCCGAATGTTCATTTATTATTGAACCGACTGAAATTTTTAAATAATCCTTGAATAATTCATCCGATGCTTCCATTTTGCGAAGCTTTAATTTATACAACACATTTTCCACCTAAAACAACAAAAAAATTTAAACTTGAAAACATGGGTAAAAATTTCAAAGAAGTGTTTCCCACAAATATCACAAAAAATAAAAAAAAAATTTTCAAAAGTATTCTAAAGTGGTGCATAAAAATGATTCAAAAAAAGAACGACTCTAATATTTACAATATTTATAGGAGAATGTTACAAAGGAATAAACAACTAAATTAAATTAGCCGATAAATTAAATTAAAGAATATTTATCTTTGTCAATGACTGATGAAATACTTCCAACTTCTTTTGCCAATCACGATTGTTAATAGCATTACCGAGAAAAATAAAATAACCATACAAAAAACACATAAATTTTTGTACATCAATAGCCACATTATGTTCTCCAGCCGATGCCTAAAGAAAAATAATATCTTGAAAAATATTTTTAAAGTTTTATTAAAAATTTTATAGCTAGAAGAAGAGGAGAGAAGCGAGACCTGATTAATAGCAAATCGCATTAATTCACCACCAATGTCGCTTAAACCAAGCAAATAATCCATTGAAGATACTTCGATAAAAAGCCTTTAATACCGATCATATAATGAAAATTCAAAAGGATTTGAACTGATTCAATCAATAAAATTAAGTTTTTTTGGCTTATAAAGATAATTATTCACAAATGGAAAAATAAATAAGCTTAAAATGATTTATAAAAATTGCTGCCTTTCCATCTGTTTTAGGTTCAGTTGAATTATTGGTCTAATAAAAAATACTCTGAAATATAGCAAACTTTTGTGGTAATTACAATGAATTACAAAAAAAACATGCCAAAAAAGACATACTGGAAATGATTTCCCGTTTCATCATCGCAAACTCTTTCTTCGAATTTCAAACTTTCAGTTATTTCATCTATGCTTAATAATTTACCAGACGAAATGAATTTATAAAATGACCATGCTTCAATATATTCTGCAAGGAAAAAAAAAAAATTGAATACCCAATTTTAAAAAGAAAAATCTCTAAAATTTAAATAAATAATGCAGACTCATAACTTCATTTTCATGTTTACTTTATTGCTGCTTTTAAAAAAAATTTAGCAAATTTAAAAAAAACCTTGAAGTGCAAACGAGATTGGCTTATTATATAAATTTTGATCAATTCCAACAACTTCTTTAGCAATATTACGAAAAAGTTTAAGACGTACGTCCATTAGACGCTTTAGAGACGATTCCATTAAATTTGCTGCAAATAATAATTTCATAAATAATAAACTTTATAAATATGAAAAATTTTTGAACTATAATACCTCAATAGAATAAGAAATTGAGGAACTAAGAACTTAAAAAGAACTTCAAAAAAACAAAGAAAAAACAAAATAATCCAAATTAAATAAAAATAATAATCAAAAATAAAATAAAAAATTTACATTTCTGTTCAGGCGATTTCATAGTTGTATATCGATGTAGCTGAAAAATAATACGTTTGCTTTCAGTAACCACATCTCGAGTTATTTTCGAGAGTCGCTCACATCTATCATGATATTTATCGAGTTCTGCAAATTATTTTCGCATTTTTAGCAAATCAGAAGCAGAACTTTACAGGACTTTGGTCATGTTTCAATGCATTGTACAAAATATAATTATGAAATTACGATAAATCATAAAATTTAGAGAGAAAAATATAATTGTGAAATATAGCACCTTTTTGATAATTCAAAAAACAATCACCATCGCCACTATCTTGATGGTTTTGAGAAAAATATAAGTGTTTGCTTTCTTTCTTTTCTTTCTTCACAATTCCTTCATCCATCTGATCCTCAATTTTTCGCTTTTTTTCCCGTTCCTTTGGAGAATCCATCAAACAAATGGTAAAAGGCAAGTGAACATGTATTGGTTGCTATTCTTTTTCCAAATTTTCGTTGATACTTGCTACATCAACTTAAATCACTACGAAATGGTTTCCGAATGATCCACTTTTGGAAAAATGAATTTTAATTAGCAGCGTCCACTTTAACTCATTATTTTTACGTTCATTACCTTATTGATTATATATATATATATATATACATATTTTCTAAACCAACTGTGGTTAACTCTCTTCGCTAACTTGTCGGTCAAGAAAGAAATTTTACCAGCGAAAGTGCACCATAATATCAGCTACACCCTTCATATATTATCGTCTAAAAAATTAAATAACGAGATATAAAAAATTTATGTCAAAGAACTGCACAAAGTACTGCATAAAAAGAATTTTCGTCTCATTAAAAGAAGAAAATTTTAGCGGAATAATGAAAGAAAAAGAAAAATGAAAAGTGAGAAAAAAGAAGTCTTTCAATTGAAATTCTTAAAAGGAATATGAAAATTTAAAAAAATATGAAAGATCAAAACAATTTTTGAAAAATTCTTTAAAAAAAATTTGATTATTAAAAAATTTATCATATCAGTAAAAATAAACAAATTTACAATGAATTTGTATCTCTTTTTTCGATAAATCTCAACTGCTTCTTCTTTAATCGCTTAATTTTACTTGTGTTCCGTATTACTTGTACGATTTCGGCTTTCCTTGCATTTTCTTCTTTACGTTTTTCCTGTTCTTTTCTCCTTTCAATTTTTGCCTATAAATTGAAATTTCAAATTTGATTTAAAATATTAAATATTAAATTTTATTAGAGGTAAAAAATGCAAACATTATTAGAGACAAATATTACAGCTTTTGCTGCTTCCAGTTTTTCACGGATTTCATTTTGAAGTTTCTTAACATTTATTGAATCGGCCTTTTCTTTCATTTTCCTCTCCCATGAAGATTTTAATGGTTTTACCTTAATTATAGCAGAAGACCTGAAATTTCAAAAAAATTACGAATAAGCATACATAATTTTGATTAAGGAGAGAAAGATGGCCGAATGGCATGGTGGCTTTGATCCATATGGAGCAATATTCGATTTTTTACCCGACATGAATATACACCTATCTTTGGAAAAATTCGCGCGCCACATACATATAATTCTATCGCTTAAGTAACAAAAGTTTCAGACAAAAGTTTCTAATCATACTAACAGCCAGTGAAGTTCTTTAACCAAGAATGGCGTGGTACTAACCATTTCTTTAATGTATCAAAATCGTATATTTAAAAATAGAACAATAAAAAGCAAAATTAAAAAAAAAAACAAAGCATAAAATTGCTTGGTTGATTTTCAATAAATAAATGAATAAAATTCCATACTCCTTGTTAAACAAAAAAAAAAATTATTACTTAATATTTAAAATATTCGCAGAAATTTTCAGCCACTTTTAGGAAACCAACTTTTCTAATTTAATAATTTTTAAACTGGTGAATTCCTAAATTATCGCTTTTTCATGTAAAAAAAAAGATTTGAAATTTTTTTTTCAAGAAATAAAAGAAACGCAACCATAGTTTCGATAAATTTTTTCTCTAATTATTGATAAAAAAGCGATTAAGCGAAAAACAGTTTTAACTAAACATGCAAAAAGAACTAATCAACTCAGTTGGCTTTCGGTTAGCTTTTAGCCAAGCAGAAAATGGAGAATGGATTGTATGGAGAAGAAATACCTCTCTTTTCGAACTGCTTTCCACCAACGACCCGATTTCGGTAATCGTCGACCCGTATTCTTAACTTTTTCAGCAATATTTGAATCGGTTTCCATTTTATTCGATAAAAAACATCAATTTTTCGATCAATATTTTATCACCTAAAATAAACGAAATTTAAACAAATATTTCCATTATTTCTATAAATATTAAATTAATTAATTAATAAATTTGTTTGATTTTTCTAATAAGCGAAAATTTTTTGCTATAAAACCACTTCGAAATACTATTTCATTTCTTTGCATTTCTATGGTTGAGAATATAAGAAAAGTACCAAAAACAATCAGAAAAACCAATTATATTATTCGAAATTTTCAATTAATAGGATAATTTACAATGGAGAAAACAGAAAGAAAGATTGTATTGTCCTCGCTAGTATGAAATTTTATAAAAATAAATCAGTTTCATGCTTAAATTCCTAAAGTTCCATTTAAATAAATCGCCTTCCCCTTTTAAAATTATTCATTTCAACAGGAAATTTCTAGAAAAGAACACGGAAGGAGGTTTCCCTTATAAAAGTGAGGTAAAATCTGCATCCACCAATTACCAAAAAAACCAGCCAGATGTGCAACTTTTCCTATTTTCCTGGATTCACTAATTTTCTTTAATATAAAATATGCAGCTCGGCCCATGGATGCAAAATTCTTACGGCCCGTATATTGTTGGAAATCTTATTTTAAAAAGGTTTAGGCTTAGTTTCTTACAAAATTGGACAAAAGAACTGATAGGAATTCAGTCTGAATAGGGAGGAAAAAAATTTTTCTTCTTTTAAGCCAAAATTTTTAATTGCATTTTTTGTTAGTACCATCTCGATTTTTTGTTTTTTTCTCTAATCGCTACTTCACTGGTACCATCCTGAAATATTTTGCTCATTTAATAAGAAATTGGTGTTGGAGTGGAGTGCGGTTATGCCAAAATTTTGGTGCATTGGCAAAGATTGTGAATTTTTTTCTGATCAATTTTTATTATATATTCTTCCACGCATTTTTTAGATATGAAATATGTTTTTTATTAAAAACTGAGAAAATTTAGGTCATTTCAGGTCAGAGTTCCTTATTAGGAATGGGATTGGATGTGCTATCAAATAATCTTTGCTTAGGTTTGCTAGTGGGAATCACAAACGATAAAAATATAGATTGGTCGTCATCACCATGCGAACTCTCACCACTTATTACAATAATTTGAACCACTCTTCACTCGGCTATCGTGACCCTGATAGATTTACATTGGTCAACAACATTTTATTGTAAACAATGTTGATGGAGAGTCGGTGACTTAGTGGGCTCAGTGGCAAGATGATAGCCAACAGGAATCAGGAATAGATAAAGATCGAATCTGGTCGAGCGTCACCGAAGGTGAAAGCGAAGGAGTTTGGAATAACTCAATTGGTTTTTCACTTCGAATCGCTCATGGTGTGGTGATTCTATTCACGGGGAGAGTAAGCTTGTCATTCAAAAAGCCAGGTATTGCCGGTTGTTCAGCGCTTATATTTCTATATCCAAGTGAACTCCTCGGGAAAATTCGTCTGGTTCAACAAGCCAACGGAGTGAATCTAATCAGTAATGGTTATCAGGTAATACTCTCAGAAAAAAAAAAGTTATTGCAATATATTATAAGTGATATTATGATAAGAGAATACAATAAATCGAAAGTAATTTTCATGGCTCGGCGATTTGTATATTAATTTTCGATAACTTTTGTTCACTGATATCTTTCACTGATGTCTTTTTTTCTTGTTTAAGAGCCCTGGTAAAACTCGCCGCTCTGGCTTATCACAATATATCAGGGATCACTTTGGCGATAGAAGCGCAGGTGATTCATCAGCATTACCTGAATTCGAACAGATTCACTCCTGGGGGAATTAGAGCCTCAGCATAGGCGCTCTGAATTGAGCAACTCATTGAACCATTCTGCTCTGCCTCACCCTCCTTCCGTTCCCCCATTGGTATTTAATATAATTTAATTGATAATTAACTAAAGCTGCGAAATATTTTATACATCTGATTATCAAATTAATAAAAAATATTAGTAAATAGTAAATATTAGTAAATTTAATAGTCCGATAGAATATTAACTTTTGTCTTTTGGTTATCGTAAAATTTTTGAAATAATGACGAGAAATAGGTTAAAATTTAGAAAAAAAGATTCGACTCGAGATAAATCTATTAAATATCACAATCCACTGGCGATTCACTGATATAAATCATTATCATTAAGATTTTTTCTGAATTCTCTAAATGAATTCTTTTTTTTCCTCCTGCAGTTAAATTTAATAAAAATTTAATGAAAATTGTAAAAATTTCAAATTTTTTGACAAAAATTTTTGTTAAAAATTTAGATTAAGAAATTCATTTTGATTTTTTATATTGTTAAATTTTTGTATATTTGTTTATTTTAAAATTTTTGAATTTAATGAAAATTGTAAAAATATCAAATTTTTTGATAAAAATTTAGATTAAGAAATTCATTTTGAATTTTTATATTATTAAATTTTTATATAAGATATTTTTATAGTATTTAATATTTTTATAAATATTTATTATTATAATATTATTTTTTATGAAAAATTCAACCGAAAATGGAATTTTTTCACTCGCATATTTAAAACATTATGAAAATATTATATTTTTATTATTTAATATTTTTATTATTTAATAATATTTAAAGATAATTAATAGTCTTCTTAATTTGAGAACGCTCATCATTGTTGGATTGATTTATTTCGTTGGCTAATCGGTTTCGATAAATTTTTCCAAGGACTCATTTGGAAGTAGAAGTATAAATAAGTCACCGATAGCAACTGGTTTTTTCAAGGCTGGCTTTACTCTTCTTGTCGGCATGAACCACAGAATTGATCCATTAACCCGCTAAATCATTCTGTCTCCATTTGCCTTTCGCTGTTCGATGGCAATGCTATTCGCCGATGTACTAGCAGAATGCTTTAGTCGGAATCCGAATCATTCTCGATGACAATCATTTTACCACTAAGCCACCGATGCACTTGGCCATTATATATTATATGAATGTTCAATTTTATTCATAAGGAATTTTCTAATTTAGGCAATTTTTCATAAAAAACGACCAAAGCTGAGGAAAGGTCAAAAGCTCGAAAACGATCAAACGATCAAAGTCGAGGAATCGGAATTACAGTACAGAAGATGGCGAATCAGCAATATTATTTGTTAACCGAAAATTCAGATGATTCGATATGTGAGCCATTAATGAGTAAGAACTGGATTTATATAAAGATCGCTTGGCTTGTAAGCCATAAATTCTGGCCATCAAGCCAGGAAAAAACCTCGAAGATCTCATGGCTCCTAATTCATATCATTGCGAATGAAATTCATTTCTTTAAAAATAGAGTAGGAAAAAAAAAAATTAAAAGTTATTTTTTCGAGAATAAAAACTTTGAATAAGTTAATTTACTTCAATTAAAAATTTTTAAGAAATATCCTATTGAACGATAATAGAATTCTCAAAATTACAGGCGAGGCGCAAATTATCAGCCAACAACAATCATCGAAAATTAGTAAACGCTTGGATATACAAGCACTTCGAGGATTGGCTATTATATATATAATGGCATTTCATATATTTCCCGATAAATTCACAAATGGTTTTATAGGTGTCGATATATTTTTTGTGCTATCCGGTTTCCTTATCACTATGATCCTCGATCAATCTAAACCTATCACTGCATTTGTTGTTGCTGATTTTTTTAGAAAACGCATTCAACGAATTTTTCCAGCTTATTATCTCTTATTAACTATTGTTATAATTTTTGGTGGTAGTGGACATTTGATTAACATAGATTTTGAAATTCTACTTACTGATTCGATTTGGGCATTCATATTTCTTTCTAATGTTCATGATTGGATTAAAAACAATGATTATTTCGCAGCGGTAATTTCCTTTTTTATCACTGTTTAAAGCTATTATCACTATTTGCTTAAATATTATATATTAAAAATAATATATTAAAAATAAATATTATAAATATTATATATTTATAATATTATTGTAAAATAAATATTATATATTTAAAAAATATTGTAAATATTTTAATCTTGTTAAAACTTTTTTTTGTCTTAGAACCATTCTATTTGTTTGAATCTCCAATTTTGATATTTTTAAAATTCTAAAAAAAAATAAGAAATATTTTTAAAAAGTCTGAGAATTTAATTGGATTTATTAATTTAGTTAACACTAAATCGGTCTCATCTTTGTCTATAATCTCAAACGATTCTAAAAAAAAGTTTAATTTTCATAGTGGCGAGTGGAATTAGAGAAACCAGAAATGGTGAGCGATGCTGGTAGAAGAAAATAGGCGACGGTTAATGCTAACGAATATAAGAAATTCTTTATTTAATATATTTAATTTTGTTTAATTTTACTTTTTTTTAATTTTTTATTTTTTTTTAATATTTTAGATTGGAAATTTCAATTTTTTACTCCATACTTGGTCATTGGCTGTTGAAATGCAATTTTATCTTTTGGCACCTTTAATTATGAAAATTCGACGCGAATTCACCTATGGCAATATTATCGTAATTGTTATTTCAGTACTCTCCTTAATACTACATTTAGAAGCACAAGCTTCTCAGTCATTTTCGTTCATTTTTAGTCGACTATGGCAATTTTTTTGCGGTACTTTGGCGTTTCATTTGTCGAAAATGAATAACCGTATGCCTTTTTTTTTTTATTTAAACCATTCTTAAATATTGTAAAAAATTTTTTGCCGATAGGATAAATTGCCATTAAAATTGCAAATATTATCGAAAAAAAAATTTCATAAAAAATTTATTTATTTTTGATTCAGATTTGTTTCAGATTACTATTTGAAGGCTTGGAAAGCCTTAACAATCTTATCACTTATAATCATATCACCATTATCGATAATAATTCATTTAAATGAGAAATTATGTCGAATCTTAGTGACAGGAGCAGTAACGATAATAATAGCTGGAAAATGGCAAGATTTAAGTGAAAAATATTTAACTTTGCTTGGATTGGATTTTATCGGCGATTTGTCCTATTCATTGTATTTAATACATTGGCCTTGTATTATTTTTATCAAATATATTTATGATATTTCCTATTTTGATTTGAACGGTTTCGATTTTTTATTTTTTGATAATTAATTAATATCACTTATAAAATCACTTTCGTCATGTAGTGTTTATGAGGCTTGAAGATAGAAGTACTCCAGAAAGCACATAGGATTTCATATTTACTTTTACAAGAGACACGAGCCGAGTCAAAATATTTAATCCAGATAATAACTATTTGGCTATTTTCCGTAATTATCATTATCATGAATCATTTATCATGATATAATTTTTATCACTGTTAATTCAGAAAATATCGTATTAACATGTTTTCTTCTCGCAAAGAGTAGAGAAATTATTTTAGATGCATCTGATATAATATTGATAACCATGATATTCTCGATAATATCATTTCATTTGATCGAAGAATATTTCATTCGAGTTAGTTTTCGCGAGACTTTACGATTTTTGTGTATTTTATTATTTATTTCATTCATATATGGTGCATTTTGGAATTTATTTACAAAAATCAAATTGCAAAAAATTGAATTTTCGACAGTTAATTTCATCGAAGAAGGTTCATTGGCTATCTTGAAAAATGATCTTTTTTTTCTTGTAAATAAATAATTGAATAAACAAATGATCATATCACTTATCATTTCTTGTTCAATCCGCTTCACTGACTATTAGTGTAATGAGTTATTTTGTTAATGAATTATTTCGGGATTCAGAATGCATGTGATTCCACAGAGCTGCTCGTTTTCATTTCATTTCATGATTTCATTTTTAATGCTTTGCGAAATTTTTGTCGAATATTTTAATATCTCAGATTTTAAAAACATAATTTAAATGTACATTTTTAAGGGCTTCCTGGAGAAAGAAGACTAATTAACAACGATCCTCCAGTTAATAAAAATGATGTTAACGTTTGGACAATTAATGGTCAATTATTAAATAAAGCATATCCCCATTTCATAGAAAATTCTTTTCATGATCCAGTTTTCGACCGATTCATGAAGCACGAAAAGCCTAAATTTCGAGGATTCAAAAAAGTACGAAGCTTAAAAAATTCATTGATTTGATTTCTAAAGTTTAAATTGAAAAAAGCAAAAAATTTAACAATATTTAGGGCAATGGAACCACAAAAGTGGCAATATTTGGAAATGCTATCGCTCATCGTGCGTTCTATTCAATCGAAAGAGCATTTTCAAGCGAACGCTACTCTGAGATACGTTTAATAGCAACGGACAATTGTTTCCTCTTTTATGATACGAACACTGATAAAGACTGTGCACAGTTCATGAAATCCGCGATTAAACTTCTAAATTACACGTTACCGGATATTCTTTATATTATATTCAGGTGAGACTAAAAAAGGAGCTAAAAAAATGTTAGTGTGATAAATATAAACAAAGTTGTCCTGGAAAAATGAGAGGAGGAAGAATCTTCGAATTTTTTATAGAAGTAATGAAAGAAATAAAAATGAATCGCTAAACGAAATTGAATCACTTGTGGACGATAAAATTTTTCATCAAACCCAAGAAATTATTCATGAAATTTCGTCATTTACTAGTCAAATTGTTATTTCCTATGATACTCCATGGACACGCAATGCAAGGTAATATCATTTTCTTCAGAATTTCTCAGTCAGAATTTCTGGTTTGGCTGGCTATATTGACTACTAGAATGAAACTCTTTCATTAGGTAGCTATTTGGATCGGGCCTTGGAAATATCTTACCCTTATAGTCGTTGGAACCAGCCTAACCAGTAATGGTGAGAGGTATTAGAAGAAGAAGATAGCTTTTTGGATATAAACAGAGGAGAATAGGTTTCAAGAATAATCAAGATTTCATTTTTAGCAATCTTACTTAGTTAATGTATGGTACTTGGCATTAGGCAAATATTCGCTCTTGTTGTGATTTTCTAAGAATTTTTGAAAAAATTTATTTATGGTACTAATTTATGGTACTATTTGGATTTTGCTAGTTATTATAGAAATATTCCATGTTTCAGTAAAATAATTAAAGAATTTATGAATGGCTCGATTAACAATATTGAAAATTTTTCGTTGCCATTCAGAGAATATTGGCTAGAACAACGATTGAATTTTATTCGATTAGATGGACTTTTTTGCGCAAATTGCGAAAAATTTTTCCCGTATCGAATATTTTGCTCTCCAAGTGTTAGTTTCCTTCATAAATTTTTTAAATTTTTTTTTTGAAAAATTTTATTTTCTAATAAATTTTAAAGTTTTTGCTAATATAATTTATAAATCAACCAAGGGTTTTTTTTTTCAAGCATTTTGTTCGTTGCCCATTTTTAAAGAAATTTGAAATATTCTTTCTGAGGCAAACTTATTCTATCCGTAAAATTCTGGCGTAGAATGGAAAAAAATTCCTAATTTTAACTAAACAAATGGTGAATGCTGTTAGATGAAGATAAATTCGTTGCGAATAATAATACTAAAATAATAATAAAAATCATAAGAAAAATAAAAAATTTAATATTATTGCGCTATCTTATGCCAGAAAATTTATCTTTTTTATCATATAATTTTATTATCATTGTTGTCAAACAATGGATTTTAGAATTTTTTTTTTGAATAATTTGTCAAATTTTCAGTATGAAAATTGTCGTTTCTATAATCCGAGATCTCTTTTATCATATTTTGATTTAAATGGTTATTTAAATGAAAACGGAATAAAATATATGGTTGATTATTATAAAGATGATATTGATGAATACTATTCAAGAAAATCTATTTAAAATTAATTTTAATAAATTAAAAAGATTTAAGAGTGCTAACTGTGAATATCTGATGATTGTAGGTTGAATGAAAAATAAAATATATAACCACCGTATCGGATTGCAAAATTATTAAATAGCGTCATATGCTGGCATTAATAAATAAATAATAATAATAATAAAAAACATAACAGTAATAATTAATAATAATAACAATAATAGTAATAAATAATAAAAATTAATAATGATAACAATGATAACAATAAACAATAATAGTGAATAATAATTAATAATAATTGATAATAATAATAATAATAAACATAATAAATATAGGAAATAAGTATTAAAAATACATAAAAAATAATAAGCTAACAATATAACGAGGAAATAGAGAGGAATTACAAAATAATGTAATTCGAACTGAATGTATTGAACTTAAGAAAATAATATTTTCCTTTTAGTTCCCTTTTGGTTAAATCCTTCCTCATTTCAAAAAAACTTCCGATGATAGCACTCAACGTATATCTCCGCGCAAAACAGGCATGGATGGATATTTTGAATATTCGCGGTCTAGTAGATTATTTCTTTTCATGTCGACAAACTTCCTTGATTAGTATTTATTTATAATATTACAAGTATTTATAGTATTACAGTATTACTTCCTTAATTATTTCAAATTATCGTTCCCAGGTTCCCTCATTGACCTTGGTTTACAGGAATTAGACTGCCGCGAAATTAATTCTTATTGCTTATATTATATTGATAATATGATAAAATATAATTGATAATATGACAAAATATAATTGAATAAACATAATAAATATAGGAAATAAGTGATAAGATAAATAAAGTACCCCTTTTAAAATAGTTAAATATTAATACAATTGCAAGAACGATAATTGATAGGACCGCGCACGATTGCGACAAATGTTATTTTTTTATAAAGTCATTATCAATTTTTATAAAATTAATATCAATTTTTTGCGGTGAATATTTGCTTTAAAGCTCATCACATGCGAATTAGCAAGAATGGTACCAGTTAAATCAGAAAAGAACTAGATTAAACTGAAAAAATTGAATATAGAGAGTGGTTCGAAGAAAGAAAAACAGTATGTAAAAGCATGTAAAACAATAGGACAGGATAACCGAGTAGGTTCAGATTAATTACTGTAATACTATAATAAGGGACAATGGTTCTCCTTCTACTTCCAAAAGTAAAGCTATTAAATAATCGGGTGATGTTAGAGACCAATTTTTTATCAGCAGTTAAATCCATGGAAAAAATTATTAATAACCATGCAAATAGTCAATGAAGCCAGTCTTACCATACCATCGTGATGGTAATAAATCGAAAATTTGAATTAATTGGTTCCTCATTGGTTTTTATTCATGCAATTTTATATAATAAAGCTTGGCTTGATTTACAGATTCAATATTTAGAATTATCAAGAAATTCCTTCTCTTTTCTTGCAATCTATTAAAAATTAAATATATAATAAACGAATTAAAGCCAATTTTTATAACTTTGAGTGAGCTATGCAAATAATTTTATGGGGAAATGATATACTCCTTCGAAATAAGAACTGATGTCTGTCAGGGCTGCGTCCTTTCCCCTACAATATTCAACTTTACGATAGACTGGATAATGGACATTGCTTGTAAGCACTTAAGAGATCCTTGTAATCCTTTTTACTGATAATCATAATGAAATGCAGATAATGCTAAACAATATGCCAACAACTGCAACGTGAAAGAGTCAAGTCAAATAAAACGATAATCTTTTCATTTCATATACAAGAAGCTGATATCCATTTTCATCACCCGTTGAGGAAGTACCAAACTTTAAATATCTTCGATGTTCATCCTTATCTCAAAAGGCCCTACGAAACTATAACTCGGATAACTAAAAATAGATTCTATTCGTTGATGAAATTTTTATGGACCCGTTTTCCTATATGACATCGCCAGTGAGAATGGAGAACGAGAGTAGAGAGCTATACAAGCTATTTGATTTTAATCACTCTTAAATTTAAGGTAAATTTTACGGGTCCGTCGAGCGGATATAAAATCTCACATGGTTCATCTTCGCTCAAACATCACTTGCACTATCACCGAATGTCAGTTTCGCTGGTTATGTCTTCGTCATCCAGCACAGGAATTAACACATATTTCCTTATTTGCTAAAATCCTGTGATGCATGACGTTAAAAGCGAGAAAGACCAATCAATGCCTGGACTAATACAATGAAGAAAGACTTTGAAGGTTTAGCTGCACCAGCGGTTACGATGGAAAAAGGAATGGCTTCTATTACTGAGAGAGATGATGCCGGATCGAATAGCTTGCAAACCTTTATAGCCAGCGGACCCAGTCTAAAGTATGGTGAGAGCTGCTAGAAGAAGAACTGTGCAAGTAAATAAGTTCCATTAAGTCAGAACTATAAAATATTTTAAAAAAGGTTTTATTGAAGCTTAATCCATTGTTTTCTCTATTCAAATAGGTGTAGATTTTGAGTTGCTATTATTATTTTTGTTCTTAAAAGGATCTTTTAAATTAAAACTTCTCAGCTGAGCATTAGAATTGTAGACTTTTTGCGGTCTCCCTTCCTTACCTCCCTTGATTGGTATGGTTATGCGGTATAGTTTTTGGTTTGGGAAGGGTTTAAGGTCATTTCTCTTGGCTAAAATTTTTTCTGTTTAGGTGATTGGCCTTTTTTTTTTACGAATTATATTGGCCTCATACGGTACATCGATTGTTTTTACTTTTTATTCGTATCTGTTGGTTTTCCATTTCTAATTTTATTCGATTTTAACCGATTTCATTAATTTTAACCAAATAAAAATTTAAGATTTTTCAATTTGCCTCTCTCTTTTCTCAGTTATTTTCAGTTATTAAAGCACTTTGATTTTTTAAATTCGATTTAAAATTGCTCTGTTTTTTATGGCTCAATTTGATGAATATTTGGGATTTAAAAAAAAAAATTAATTAACAAGTAAAAATTAATTAAATTAGGAATTAATATTAAATAATATTGGCAAATAATTATTTAATATAAAAAACTATAATAAAAATAATAAAATAATAATAATAAATAATAATAAATAAAAACAAATAAAATAAAATAAAATTTAATAAATTTAATTTAATAAATAATATTAAATAATTAATAATAAATAATTTAATAATTTAATTAATTTAATTAATTTAATATAAAAATATAAAAAAATATTATTAAAACTGTAGAAAAATAATTTACTGGAAGATTTATTGCTCTTTTTTTTCTGCTTTTCTCATTTTGCTAATATAAATTTTAATTTAGTTTAAATGTTTAAATGTTTAGTGTGTTCGCGTTTACAGCGTTATTTTCCTAGTAGTTGTAGTTATAGTTGCTTTTCTTTTTCAGATTTTAATGGTTCGCGTTAGAAAACGGCGATTTAGTCGAAAAGGTAAACAAAAACTCGCATCAAAAAGTTTTGTATGTTCATTTTTACTTCACTTTAGCATTAATATCATTGTATTTATCATTCTATATTTCATTTTAAAAAAAAATAAAATATTTTTTCTGCTTTATTCCGGTTCTTTTCTTTATTTTTTCTCACAATATTTTTCCTAGATTTCAAATCATGGAAAAAAATTCCATTAGAATTTTTACATAAATTTTGAATAAATTTATTTAAATTTAATTAAATTAAATAATTAATTAAATTACGAAATTTGGTAAATTTGAAGAACAGAACAAGAAAACATTTTCTATTTTCTAAAAATATGCGTAAAAAAATTATAGGGTGCACGAATAACGAAACGTGTTGAAAGAGCTGAGCAAAAACGTGATGTTGAAGCTTTGCGAGCAAAAGTTAGCGATAATGTAGCTCGAGAACTAAACAAAGAACCGCACTCATTCATAATTCATCGCGGATCAGTTGGTCGATATTTGCGAGAACTTGAACTGGATTTGCGGCGAGTAATGGAGCCTTTTACAGCAAGCAAATTGAAGGTTGCAATAGTTTTGAAGTACTTTCTTTTTTGATATATATTTTGTTATTTTGGTGTATTTATTCTATTCTATTTTCGTGATTACATTAGTGCATTTATTTATTTTTTGAAGATAATTCATATTTTTAAATAATGTTTTATTTCATAGTTCTTTTCAAATTATTTTTTTCTTCCATCGTTTTTATCTTTGAGTTTTTTTGATATAGTATATTGTATTGTATATAGCTATACATTATATGATTAATGGGATGATACTATGTAATTGGATTGCGATGGCACAGAAAATCTCATTCCTCTGTCTTTTGGATATTAGTTACCTCCTAAAATTGCATAAATATAAATTAGCATAATATAAAAGTTACTATTAGCAAATCAGGGAAGATAAAAAAATTAGGATATTGCAATATTAAACAAAAATGGATTAGGGATTAAATCTACTATTAAATCTTACATTTTTCACGTACTGGTTTATTCATTTAATTTTTTAGATTTATTTTTGGTCTAGTTTTGGTTTTTGATTTATTTATTTTTGAATTGTTTCAATTGTTTCAATTTAATTTAATTTCTATTTTTATTATTTCTTTAGGCATTAAAACGCAATAACATCAAAGATTTTGTGATAAATGGAGCTGCACTTGGTGTAACACATTTGTTAGTTATCACTCGTAGTGATACGTCAGCCATTATGAGGATCATTAGGTGTCCACAAGGACCAACTATAACATTTAAAGGTTACGAGTATTTTAAAAATTAAGTTTAGATTAATCTGCTTTCATTATTTTTTACAATTTTTAAAAATTTTTTCAGTGGTAGAATATACACTTTCCAGACACATTGTTAGCTGTATGCGTCATCCAGTTCATTTCCCCCAGTTGTTCATAACGGCTCCTTTAGTTGTTATTAATGGATTTAACGATACCAATAAGAAGCATTTAAAACTTGTTCAATCTATGTTCCAGAATATGTTTCCGTCTATCAATGTTGATACAGTGAGTTTTAACTTTTTTCCTTTTGTATTAATTAACTATTGCATTTTTAAAGAATTCTTTTATAGGTAAAGCTTTCTCAAGTTCGTCGCTGTGTATTGGTTAATTATGATAAAGAAAATGATCGCATCGACATACGGCATTAGTTAGTTTTGTCATTCATTTTATTTCGATTCATATTTGATCGGTAAAGAAATATAAATAAAAATTTAAAAATTAGTTAATTATGAGTTTATTCTTTTAGCATTTTTGGAGTTTAAGCCATATGGAATAAAAATTTTACTTTAAGTTTTATATTATATTATATATTATTTATATATTATTTTATTTTAAATTTTATTTATTGCGCCCACTTGTTTGTTTCAATTTGAAATTGAAGAAAATCGGTAGAATGTTGGTAAACTTTTTAGCGCAATAAAATCGGTTCCCTCGGGTCTGAGCAAATCTGCCAAAAAATTAGTTCAAAGCAAAGTGCCGAATCTCTCCAAATACAAAGATATAAGTGAATATTTTTTAAAGTAAGATTAATTTTGGAATATTTCATAAAGATGGATTTTCTTTTAATTATTAGCAAGTATTTATGGTTGCATAATGTTTGCATAACTTTTTTTAAAGTCCTGGTCAATTAAGCGATAGTGAATTCGAAGGTGAGAAAGATGAAATCAAATTGCCACAAGATTTAAAAGCACGTGGTTGCAAAGCCGGCCAACTTACTAATATAAGGTTCTTTGTTCATTTATTTGATTAAAAGTAGCATTATAGAAAAAATATATATATAATATATATAATTTATATTTATAATTTATATAATTTATATATAATATATATAATTTATAATGTTATATATATATATATATATATAATTTCTTTCCATTTTCTAACACCAGCTGGATGTGATTTTTCTTTGACTTCTCAGTCCAATATCATATCTAAAAATCTTTCCCCAAAATCATATATCACTGGACCATTTGTCTTTTTTTATGTCCCTTGTACCATCTGTCCACTCGAAATCATTTCTAACCATATCATTGTAGATCTTGGTTGGTTTCCTTTTGAAGCCAGAATTGATCAAAAGATTTGGCATATATAGAGTAAGCGTTACTTCTAATATATGATGAAGAACAGAGATAAACGATTCATTGTAGCGATATTATTGCGGTATTATTGCAGATGATATTTGAGTGAGAATGAATGCACTTATATGAGATTCATCTCAGCATAAGTGATCGACGATATAGAACTGTTTGATATCTACTATCATCTTGCATTTTCTTTAGTACTTTGACCACAAAAACATAATTAAATATTTTTACAGATTAATTGAATTAGGACCACGTTTGTGTTTGTCTGTCGCAAAAATTGAAGAAGGTATCGATGAAGGCGAAGTGCTTTACCATTCCTACATTACTAAAAGTGCTAAAGAACTAACAGATTTAAGGAAAGATCTTCCTAGAAGAAGGTGTGCTTTAGCCCCAAAAGAATATTTTGAAATTCTGTCTTTTGCTTTTCAGAAATTTTGTTTATAGCTTTATTGCACTAATTCAATCGAAAAAATCTCTTATATTTTCCTAGATAATCCTTTATAGTCAATTTTATGCAGGAAATTGAAAAAATCACTTGAAATGAAAAATGAGCATCGCATCATTCGACGATTGCAAGCTGCAGCTGATAAAGAAGCAAGTGAAAAACAAGAATTCAATAAAATGAAGAGTGAATTAATTGATAAGCAAAAAGCAGTAACTGGCGATTATGAAGCTGAAAAATCCGATGAGAAAATTGTTTTTAAGCACCAGCAAGTTTCTGAAAAATTTCCGAAAAAGAAAAGGCAAGTTCTTTGACATTCCATGAAATTTTTCATATTATTATTTTGAAAACATCGTGAACAACTTTGCAAGGAAATATTTTTTTACAGCAAGAATGCTACTTTTACTGAACCATCAAAAAGAGAAAGGATATATGAAAAAAATGCTGATAATAGGCAGGTGAAACGAAAGAAGAAAAATTAATTTTTTCCAGTTTATTTCCATACTTCATTCTTATAAGATTTTTCGAAAATTTTTTGGTTTCTAAGTTTTCACCGTAGAATTTGTTATTAGAATTTATCAGTTTTTTAAATTTAAAGGGAATTTAAATTTTTTACCTTTTTATAGGATTATTTGAATTTTTTTGTTAAATTGTGATTTGAACTTCTTGTTTCGCCTCTTTTTATATATTGCTATTCTTTTGTTTTCTTTTTATTTAAATCTAAATCTTATTTTTCTTTTTTTTTTATTAAAAGTTGTTTATTCCGCAAATATTTTGTTTCTTTATTATTATTGTTTTTTATTTTTAAATTTTTTGATTTTTTTTTCTTTCATTGTATCATGAAGAATAAGTAATAGACTTAAGGATGCGGGAATTTTATACTTTTGAATTTGAATTTGCAAAAAATTTTTCCATTAACTTTCTGGCTAATATCGTTTCTTGTTTTGTAGGCGCTATCTAAAGAGAAGAGGAAATAATTCATAGCAAAAGAATTTTTTTCTTAAATCTGATTTTATCTGATAGTAAAATAAATCTGATAGTAAAATAAAATAACAATAAATAATTCATAAATATTGCACTCCTTTTTTTTCCTATTCTTTTATTATTTAAAAATATTTCTATCAATATCAAGGAAATATTCGTCAATGTTTCATGACTTTGAATTTATTTTGTTTATTTTCTTTTTATAGTTTTTATTTCCTATTAATGCTGAAGATTTTTTAAATGCTTAAATGCAGCCAACAAATTTATTGAATAAAGATAGTGAATTTTCCAATAAAAAAAAAAATCGTTTATTTTAAATTTATAAGCTGTAACAATCTAAAATCATTCGAATCTCGATGCAACACCAAATATTATTTTAAATTCAGTCGTACAATAGAATTACAATCAAAAGATAGTAACATAATATGAGATTTTCTTTAAAAAAAAAAAAGTATATACCGCACATTGGCCAGCCTTGCTTTGTAGCTATGAGAATTAAGAGTTCGCCAAAAGTCAAGTCAACTTCCTTTTTTTTTCTTTTGAGCAATATTGAATAATATTATCTAAGAAAATTTCCCTGTTAAATTAAAATTATTGCTAAATATTATGGAAAAACTTAAATAAAATTAGATTTCTGATAGTAAAATAAATCTAAAAATAAATAATTCATCATAAATATTGCACTCCTTTTTTTTCCTATTCTTTTATTATTTAAAAATATTTCTATCAATATCAAGGAAATATTCGTCAATGTTTCATGATTTTGAATAAATAATCGCATCGGAAATAAAAATCTCATGAGAATATTTCTTCTCAACGTTATATGCCAATAAAAAAATCGAATTCATTTTCAAGGAATTAATCGTCGAATTAAGCTATTTAACTAAAATAAATAAATAAATAATAATATATCATATGAGAATATATTATGAAAAAATTATTTAAAATTAAATTAAAATATCAACGAAGAAAAAAAAAATTCCTCAAATATCATTTTTCCACTTTTTCATATTACATTTCTCTTGATTATCAATTGATAAAGTCAATTTTAATTTTTCTCATATCGTTTTAGAAATTTTCATTTTTTTTCGAAATAATTTCTTAAAATTTTCACTATATTATATATTCGAACTCTAAGGCAATAATGGCAATAATAGAGAGAGAATATTGATTTATATATAAATAAATATATATTTATATAGGATCAAAATATATTAAAATATACTGCAAAGGCTTGGGCACAAAAAAAATGCATGGAATATTAATAATGATGGATTTGCAATATTTCGCTTGAATAAGGTAAAATTTTGTTAATCATTATTTAGTAAAATAAATAATATTAAGAAAGCGTGGATTAGCAACAAAAAATTTTCCAGTATTGTCGAAATTATTTGCAAATTTTACGATTTAAATGATTTTAGCATAAATTATCAAATATAACTATTATCAACAATCATCTAATCGAATATAAAAATACTTTTGGTATGCATCATTAATATTAACTAAGAAAAGAAAGAAAATTGGTTAGAAAAGTTTTCAGGAAGAAAAAAAAAAGCAAACACCGGAATTTTACAATACCCGGAGACCTTGTTGTGGCTGCAAAGAGGAAAATTCACTATAGAATATTTGCTATAAGTTCCCCTCCTCCTCACCAACACGATCGCTTTAGGCTATAAATCATTGCTCGGTGAAAGTGATGACGATTCGAATTTCATTTGAAAAAATTGCTAGCCACACACTCGGTAATAAATTTTAAATATTTATGGTGAGAAGCATAAAATGATGAAAAAAAAGAAAAAAAATCGAAATTCTATCGAAAAAATCCTAAATTCGATCGCTAGGAGTTGCAGCAACAAGTCGCATTAAATGAACAACAGAGAAAATTCTTCGAAATCGGATTAGCCAATGGATATTTTATATTTTATTAAAATATATTTATATATTTATATTTATATATAAAATATATATTTCAATTATTTCATAAAATTCTTTCATGAATTGATTGAACTTATTAAATTTTAATAAAAAATTTCTTATTTTCTTATCAAATAAACGTAATCATTCATTTATAACAAAAACTGAGATCCCTCAATAAGTTTCTTTTTTTTTAAGCCGATTTCTTTATTCATTTTAGATTTTGTAAAATAGTGGATGAAGGAAATGTGATAAATATTTCTGCTCTCATGAAAAATATATATTTCGGTTAGGAATGAGCTGCCATTAGTCGTGCCTTAGCACATTCAGGGCACAAAATATCGGTACCATCGGTTATAAAACCCTTTCCGACAAGTGAAGTTCTACATTGAGCGCATACAAAACATTCGTTATGCCAATGGCGATCTTCGAACGAAATGAATTTTGCGCCACCAATTCCTGAATTTTGCGTTCATAAATTTTCCTATATAATAAAATATTTCATATATCAATTTCAATTTTTAAATTATTCAATCATCCTACCAGTAATCGGTTTTTCACATGCGTTGCATCGTTTGGCAAATAATTCGCCATAACAGTTAGCACAATACGGTTTTTCGTCTTTCGAAGTAAATCGTTGACCAGCAAGTGATGTATCACAGTTGGTGCAACAAAAACATTCACGATGCCATGGTTCATTTTTGTATGTAACACCACCTGTTGTTATCACCTAAAGAATTGTTTAAAAATATAATTTGAATTAGAATTACTAACTAGTATATACCAGTATATACTAGTACGCATCCTAACCGATGATTATTTTGGTCTAAGCCAAGCAATAATCAAGCATCGATTCATTCTTTAACTAATTTTAATCATTCTAAACCAATGAACTATAAATATACTATCAGACTATATGATTTCTGAATTTTTAAATAAAGCATAAAATTGATAAAAATACTGATATCATAAAATGATATAAATAAAATGATAAAAAATGAGAATGATCTAAACAAGTTATAAAATAAAAAATAAAATAAAATGATCTAATAAATAAATTATATAAAATTGTTTTGCTAACTTTTTTACATTTGCAACATCTCGTCGCAAATTTCTCCTCATAGCAACTAGCGCAGTATACTTCTTCATTTTTCGGGATAAAACTTCTGGTTCCAATTGGTGTACGACATAATGCACAACAAAAGCATTTATCATGCCATTGCTTTCCTTTATATTCCATTTTTTTCATGCCTAAAAGAATATAAATTTGAATTAAAAAAATGCTGGCATGTCGTCATTCATTTATTATTTCCACCCACATTCTAATATATACGTTTATATATGTTTATTCTAAAAAAAGACTAAAGTAGATGAAATTAGAGTCATGCAAAGCACATGTTAAAAAATAGACAAAAAATTAGTCACTCTTATTATCTTTAATTTTGCCAATAAAATTTTTTTTTTACTAATATTAATAATTTTAAATATTTTTCAAATTTCAAAAAAAGTCCATAATTATTTTAGCTAAAATTTTTAGTTAGAAAATTAATTAATAAAATTTAGAATTAGAAAATTATTTGAAATTTTTATATTTTTAGCTAAAAGTTATTAAGGAGAAAAAAAAAACTATCCAACTAGTGTTTTTATAGAAAAGTTGAAAAATTGATATAATATAATTGTATATTTAAATATAATTTAAACTGAACAAAACATTTGCTTGACATTTTTAAATCATTAAATTACTTTGTTACAGTAGAAAATGATTTCACTATAATCACAATAGAACAATGTACATAGTTGGTTCCACAGGCTGCAGGGATAAGCCAAGCTTTCGATGCCATATCAAAAAGAAACACAAATTTTCGTTTCACCACGAAAATCCACATGCCGTTAGGCAGATGAAGAAAATATAGTGAGATGTAACCATATAAAATTTTTTATTTCGAGACTTGGCCAAGATTTATGATTGGATCAAGATTTAATCTTAGGCATCGGCAAAGCTCAACATTTATTTCGAGGCTTCGCTAAGGATTTGGTTTCTGCCAAGGCTTAGACCATATTCTTGGGCTTAGACGGCTTATGTAGAATCAGAATAGCCATCGGAATAGAGGACAATGGTCTGAAGGAATGTGAGTCTAGGCAAGGTTTTTCATAAAATTTTTTGGCAACAGGATTTTAGCGATATTCGAGGTGATTCCATAGAAGTTTCGCCAAACAGAATAAAATATTCCTAATCGTAACTATTGACTACTAGGTCATCTGCTATAAGATTGACCATTTCTTTAACAATTCATAGATTTATAAACATAGATAATTTCTTCTTCTTCTTCTAACAGCTCTCAACATTACTGGTTAGGCTGGCTTCAACAGCTACAAGGGTAAGACGCTTCCAAGCGGCGCTGCCATCGTCGACAGTAGTGGAAACCATTACTTTTTCCATCGTCTAAGTCCATATATTGCTGCTACACCTATACGTTCAAAATCTTTTCTCACCGTATCGGTCCAGGTTTTGATTGGCCCATCTCGCTTTTGAACCGTCACACGGTTTAGCAAATAACGAAATATGCGTCAATACTTGTGGTGGACGATAATTTATCAGCGTATGAACATATAAGATGAAAAAAAACTTCGCTACATATTTGATAATTATCATAATTTCATCAAAATATTTTTCTTAAAGGATTTAGGGGTGCAGTCGGTTTGCTGTATTCAATTTCTGATAATAATTGATTTCTGAAGATCGAAAGAACGGCAAAAGGCAATTGACCATATTCGAAGAATTTAGCTTGGAAACCGAGAGTTCTGGAAGCTATTATCCATAAACTTCTGAACTTTAGAGATTATTACTGTTCTCGTTCTTGAATAATGATAGCTTTAAGAAGAAGGCAAAATATTTTTCGATTAACGCCAGTGAAGTATCGAATATTCGAGCACCTGTCCCCATTTATAGAGTCACACCAATCCAGTAACGCTTTTTATCATATGATCCCCTTTTTCTATGGCAGTGAGAGAAGGTAATATAAGTGAAGTGAAAACTTTTTTGTCGAAACATATATATTTATTGTTATTTTGCATGTATATTTTATAATAATAAATATTTTATTATTAGGTGAACGAATCCTATGGATCAACAAAATATTTATATATGCGTGAAAACTAAATTTTACTCTGAATTCTCCAAAGTTCCACGATGTCGATAACAGATGTTTTGCTCCAAGCCAGGTAGAGTAATTGGGATTCGGAAAAAAGGGAATTCATTTTCTATTCTATTCTATCATTTTAATGATACATCCTTAATTCGAAAAAAAGCACTTAGTACTGATTTAGAATAAGTCAATTTTGTAATTTCAATTATATTTAGTAATTTTACTTAATTCATTTAGTAATTTTATTTGACGTAAATACCATTGGAATTAAGTAAAAATTTTGATTAATAAATAGTATTAATTTTTATCTTTTAAATTTCAATTTCAATCAATCTTTTTATAACTTCGTTTATAACTTTTTTAATTGTTGATTAATTGAAAATCGATGAAATAATCCAATTTTATGCAATACGCCTATAGGATTTATAAGCAATCTTTAGTGAAAATCTTTAAAATAATAACAAAATCTTTAAAATAGTATCGAAAAATTTTTACTATTCATCTCTTCCTATTAATCTCAATCAAAATTCAATAATTGAAGTTTTTTTTTTTTTTTAAAAATTCAATTAATGAAGTTTATAAAGGCTGTGATTCAATTTGATTTTGAAATTTTAAAAATTTCCAAAAAATTTTTATCTAAAAATCAAAAATATTTTTGTAAATATTTATATTTAGTAAGACATATTGAGTTTAAATGTTTAAACAGTTGTTAACTGAATAAATTTTAAAAAAAGACAAAATTCAGATAGATAGATAGGAGAGTTAAAAAAATTCGAATAAAAATCAAACCAGCTCGAAAAATTTCGTTGCATCCATCACATCGAGTTGCAAAAGCTTGATCATAGCAATTCGAGCAAAAAATTCGATCATTTTTGCTCCCAAATGGCTTATCAACTAGTGAAATTTTACACATATTACATAGAAAGCAATCTTCATGCCAATGTTTATCTTTATACGATAAATCCTTAAAAAAAAAAAGCTAATTTGAATCACTTTAGAATAGATGATGTATCTTCAAAACTATCCAGAAATGTATATGTAATATATATTTTGCACATCTTCAGAATTATCCAGAAATATATATATATAACATATATTAGCACTCATTATGGAAATGATTTAATCTGACTTACCTTAGAATCAATGCCAATTGGTTTCGCACATTCATCGCAAATATTTGCGAATACATCCTCATAGCATTTAATACAATATGGATGATCATCCCTGAGTATATATCGCTGACCAGTAAGAGTATTATCGCATTGCCAACAACAAAAATGATCGCTGTGCCAGTCCTTATTCATTGCCTTCGTATATTCACCAGCAAAAATCAACTGAAATATTTTTTTTTACACTAAATAATATTTTTAGATTTTTATAAAATGACTAAAAAACAATTCTAATTTTAAATAATTACATTGTACAAAATTTGTATAAGAAGTATGCCTAAAGTAAAGTTGATAAATTTTTTTTTTTTTAAGACATTAATATCTTCTAAATTCACCATTTATTATTATAGAAAAGCCATAATTTGCCCTTTGACCCTGGCAAAGTCAGTCAGTGCTATGAGTAACTGTGCAATATAATGAGATATTATAATTATATTATCGAAAAAGTTTTATATTTTTTCTTGAATTTTAATTAGATAATATTTCTTACTCACTCACATCAAATCCACTTTAGCTTACTTCATTAATTCTTTAATTATTTCTTCCTTATTTTCCTCATATTAGACAAGTGATATTTATTAAAAAAATTGAAATTTTTCAATAAACAATTATAAATTTAAATTTATAATTGTGACAAATCAAATTGAAAAGATTTTCAAAAGGCTTTCAGTTTTCAATTTGATTTGAATCTCAAAAGACGACAAAAATTATTAAAATCGTCTAATACGGACGCAACAAAAACATAGACAAATTTATCGTTAAATCTTTCTTATGAGCAAAATTTATAAACGAAATTTTTCCCTTTCTTCCGATGGTAATAGAATGAATTAGAAGGCTTTAAATCTAAATAAATGTTTTCTATGCCCTTTTTAGTAAACAATTTTGAAAGTTTGACGAATAATAATTAAAACAGAAAGCAACCATCACCAATACTCTAGGAACTTAGATAGTTGATCGCTATAAAGTTCGGAAAAACAAAAAATAAAACTAAATTTATCGAACTTTTTTGCAACGTCTCTAATTAAATTCGCCCTATTGCACATTAGAACGATAGAGAGTGCCTTAGGGATAGAAATATAGCGGAGAATTTGACTGGGGCGGTACATCTGTCAAAACGTAACGCAGGTGTCCTAAGGCTAGCTCAGAGAGGACGGAAATCTCACGTAGAGTGAAAGATTTGCAGCACCAATCCAACTCTCATCTATAAATTATTATGGTAAAAATCAAGGTATTTAATGAAAGATTTAATTTTTATTTATTAAATTTTTAAATTATTAAATTTTCGCAGAAAAATTTTTCCTACTTCTGATGAAGATAATGTTTAAAAATGTTGTCAGCTTTATATATATTTATATATATATATGAGGTCATTTTCCGATCGAATTCTTTAGGGAATCATGAATAAGAAATAATAGGCTAAAGAAATATAAATTGGAAAAATAATGAGAAGTTAAAAGAAATAACAAGAATCCTATTATTAAATTTATAATAAGTACATATAGGTTATTGAAGACATGGAAATTTTTTCAAAAATTTTTTCAAAAATAAAAACAGAAGGTAATTTGATGAAATAAAACCAATGAGCATTTGATAAAGTTGTTAAAAAATAGAAAAACTATTGGATATTCTTTAAATCTAGGAGAATGGATTTCATTCATAAATCCACAGCATTTACTATTACGATGATAGTTCTTCGCCAATGAGTTATTTGAAAATAGAAATATAGATGAATTCCTAGAAGCATCTGGATTTCATTCCTAATTGATAGACTTACTACCGTTAAATGGCAAAAATCGAAATTATGATAATTTGCCTTATGCCAGTCGACTTTCCTACTTTTCTTTAATTTCAAGAATTGCATAAAATATTTCTAGAAAAATTCGATTATTTTTAAACGAAAGCATAAAACTGAGAAAAAATAGGAAAAAAATTTTTTCCTAAATTAAAAGCGATAAAATTAAAATATGCACAAAAAAAATTCAATTTTTCAACGACAAATTTTTGATGAAACTGGACAAATTTAAAGAATCGGTCGTATAAATATTTAGGAGGTAATACGAAATATAAAATCATACGGTCTTTGTAATGGTTATGAATTTATTTCTTTAAGGGTAAGGGAGAATAGCAAGAATAAAAGAGAGAATTGTACTCGAAGCCTGATAGTCGACTTAAAGACCTAAAATCTGAAAAAACTTAAAATCTCATCCTCAAAAATTTTCTAAGCAATTAGCTATCAAGTTATTCGTTTTCTGATCAAATGAACTAACAAATTTTTTCATGAAAAAACTGGAAAAATATCAAAGTGAACTTTCGTAATGATTTATTTTTCCGACATATAAAATGAAAAAAAATTTATCAATAGTATTTGTAAAGCTAATTCCGATGGAATTTTCGGAGAAAAAGAAATTCATTGGACCAGAATAAAAGCTTTCTATAAACATTCAATATATAAGGATTTTTTTTTTTACAACGGTTATGCTAAATTTTATGTTCAGAAAAAGATTTTATCGAAGAAAATATAAATATTTGTGGTGAAGACTAAAGTACTTGTGGCAGAATCAAAATGCAAGCGGTACGGCCAAAACTCAATTAAAAAGATGGCACAGTGAAAATGACAATAAGACAACTAAAAAGCAGTAGAGGTGATGAAATTTAAATGTTTAATTTTGTCCTATAGCCAAAATACAAATGAAGACTGTACGGCCAAAACTGAGCTTTCATAGAACACTAACGAATATTTTTTTGAATTCAGTAACAAATGCCATACTAGACCAAATTATCAAATAGCAATAACAATAAAAAAGTCTCATTTCGATGGATGGATCTGCTTCGATGGACTTAATGAGCAGTTCATTAATCCAAATCGCATATATGGCAAATTAAATGATAGATCTTAGAATTCCAGACTTTTCCGAAGAAAAAAAAAAACAAAAAATAATACAATAAGCATATGAATTTTTGAAATGTTTCAAAGTAAATTGTGTTTGAAATAAAAGAAATCGGTTAAATTTCATCAGTGCAAAAAGCATTCATTTCCTTATCCCATGGGCTATTAAACGCAATGACTGAAAATAAAATTGAAAAGGATTGATTTAATTCGAGCAAAAAAACCTTATTATAGTTCATGAAATTTCTACGGAAAAGATTGCATAAATTTTACTCCATGGAGGAAACATAGATTCATAAATTTTATTTCACGAAATCGGATTCATAAATTTTATTCCAAAATAAAAACAGAGATTGTGATATAGGGTTTCTTCATTCTTCGTTGAACAACAGAGGTTCACTGAATCTTCTCAGTTATAGAAAAATTGAAAAATTGGGAGGATGATAAAGATGATATGATAAGGATTCTATCGCCAATTCACACTCAGGTGAAAATTTTTCTAACGATACCGACAGGCCAACGGAACTAATCTAGCTAGAAATGATATACGCTAATCATTTATCTAAGTTAAAAACTCGAATAAATTTTGGTTCTTAGAAAAATTTTTCGTCCAAAACAAAAAAAAAAGCTATTAACAGAATATCAATTCAAAAATCACTAATCACCTATCATTAATCATGAAATATCAAATTAATCTACTAAATTCTACGTAATTATTTGAAAAGCAATTTCCATCAAGAAATCTTATTTCCATAATTCAAAAAAAAAATTACTAGGATTTGTTGATTTCGTTGAGTCTGCTGCCACTTAATAGGTATATTAATAGGTAAATTGCTATTTTCTAAGGATTAAAGTTTTGGCATTAATTTATTGGGATTAAGGGGGATTTATTGGGAAGTTTCAAGGACAGAAACTAAAACTATAAATATTTCCTCGGAGCATTTTGATTTAACCACTATTAGCAAATTTTCATATCCCATGAACTTCTTTTAAAATAACCTATCGGCAATATTTAAAAATGTTTTTTTTTTCTTGTTCAAAGAACTTTTCAATTATTTTTAAAAAAAGTTTTCATATTCATTTTTATATATTTTTTCTTTTTATTCAATATATCATCATAACATTTTGTGAAAAAATGAGAGGAATAAACCCACGCTACCCATGAATTTCTTTTTTTAATAGCTATTAATAAATAATATATCAAAAATTACTGAAATAATCGATTCAAAAACTTAGATAGTAAATTTTCTTAATAATAATAATCTTAATATAGCTTGGAAATGTCTTACCGAAGCTAGTTGTGGAACCATCCTAACCAATAATGGTAAGAGCTGTTAGAAAAAGAAGAATGATAAAGTTAATACTAATAATACTGATAATATTAATATTGAAAATGTTGACTTCAATTGATTTTCCAGTAACAAGCGAATTTCAACTTTTTTAATGTCATTCTGCCAAATGTTAGAGGTTGGACCTATTATGATTTGAAGTCTCAGCTGAAGAAACATGCCACTCGACTATTCTACTTATCTTTTGATAACATTATTGTCATTATTTTTTTGCCAATGTGACAAATCTATATTTGCTAAATTCAGTCAGTATGTATTTCAAAGAACCAATTCATATTCAAAACCTTTGAAAAGATTTCGCTATTCATCAAAATAATTATAAAATAATTCATTTAATAGGAATTATTCCCAACATTTTTCTGGAGGACCTTAATTAACAAATAATATATAAGAAGTAGACGATCATTATCTGTAACTATAAGAAATAGTTTTCTTACTAAATAATTCTTCAAATTTTAAGAAAATTTCCTCCGAAAGCTTAAAAGCCACTATTCGAAAAAAGGGATAGAATTGCTCGGTGGATGGTTGCTCAATTCGGAGAGATGATGTTGAGGTTCGATTCCTCGCAGGAATAAACCTATCCAAAAATCCGAGTGATGCTGGCCACTCACCTGTACTTCTATCTCCAAGGGATTCCCTAGCACATTTGTCCAATGCGACAAGCCAGTAATGGTGAGGACTCTTTAAAAAAAACTTTCCGACAATAAGAAAATGCCAGATGTAGAGAAAAATTCAGATTAGGTTGAAAAATTTTAGGAATCAACGACCATATTCTCACATGTGATGAATATCATGAAATAACTATGATTTAAAGTACAAAATTGGCCGAAATGATTTAAAAGCATTCCTAATGAATTCGAGAAAAATGATATTCTTTTTGATAAACATCAATAAAAGGA